TCTTCACAAAGATTTACCGCTCAAATATGATATGTGCAGGGTTGCCGAGTGAATATCAAGTTTGCCTACCTAAACTGTTCTGAAACGTATCAAGGAACAAAATAAAAAATAGCCAGCAACAAAAACCTGTTTGAGTCCTAACAGAGATACTGTACATATAAAAAAGCCTATCCATTTTTGATCTTAAGGTACACTATTGGTTTATCAACCCCTCCCTTCATGAACTTCTCGACCGAGTTATGGTGGAATCATTTGCCATTCGAACTTTTCTATTTGTGGAAGAAATCTCATGATGCTACCATTCAAATGAATTCTCTTTGGCTGAACCTTGCATACTACAATTTTTTTCTTGGGATTTTGAGAAAAGAAATTTAAATTTGTTTTCAAAATTTTTACTTTGGTTACTATTAGCAGTAAAAGATGTAAGACATAAATTGGGAGAAGGTCCTGAAACTGCAGCTTCTGCACATGTGATAAACAAGGAGAGGTTGTAATGACAGAACATATCCAAATGAATTGAAGCAGAAGAAATAAAAGATAATTTTGTAAGAATGTGTCGCTTGTTTCTTAGATCAAAGCATGGGTAAAAGTTTAATTCGACGTCCTCTGCCTTCTTACCTGGATAAATACCTTTTAATAGAATAGTAGAAAAATCAAGATCAGAACGGTTGAACCTTTCTTAGCATAGTGAAGCAGAAAAAATGTTATTGTGGTCTGTTGAAATAAAGACCTCTTGTTGAAAACCCGCTTGAATTTTCTTTTTTCCTTTAGTCTAAAGCTTAGTAAGTCTCTCAAAACCTCGTTCATCATGCGTCTAATCATGTTAATTGACAGTGATAAATTAATTCCCAAATTTGAAATTAAGTACAACTATACTATGGTGAATAGCTACTTGAGGCAATTCAAAATGTCCGAAACTCGCCTCATCTGCTTTTAAAGCGCACGTGCCACAAAACAAAGCCAGCACACGCGGCTCGCTTCTTGAGCGAGCAATTAAGAACGTTTGATAAGATAAGCTAATTAGGTCTCTCTCAAGCCAAGGTCTTGCCCTACGAAAATTAAATTTGAAAATGTATGCATGAATGGAGTGTTTAATTTTCTGAGACGAAAGAAATTGCCGATTAAATTGGTCAAGGGGGCGAGTATATCTCTTTGGTTAAAATTTACACTTATAGAGAATACAGTAGCACACATTCAGTAGTATTTTATTAAACAAGTTTGATTCTCTCCTTACGCAAAAAAAAACAGCGTGGCTGCGTTTATTTCTGGTTCACTGAAGTGTTTACATGCGTTATTGTGCGAAGCAATATAATCGCTCTATTAGTCCGCGCGTAGGGAAATTAATCTATGTAAATATTTACCCCGAAAAGTGTTTTTATTCTGTATCGTCATTGAAACACGTAGCCTGGCCGACGAAAAACTATTCACTTCAATCTCTTTATGCTTGAAAGGTGTTAGATGGGAAGACAATGTTTGATCTGTAGAAAAGGGTCTGGTTTTACACCCAGGGCAAAGCGTTAGGAATTTGGTACCTCGTTTCTAAATCTGAAAATAAGGCGCAATGTTTTTATCTAAATGTTATCTTTTAATTTAGACGCACTTCGTGGTGATTTGCCGTAAATAATCGCTCATAATGAGATTAATTTTGCTTGTTATGACAAATACACATCAGCTGCGTTTAAAATGCTTTTGTTTAAGGTTTTCTAAATCAAAATGTTAAGAAAGAACTCAAGAAAAAAAGGAATGATATCACTCACATTTTGCTAAGTTTTCTATGGTCTTGAATCTCGAAATGAAAAGCGATGTCGGACTTTGTAGTCAATAAAAAACGTATTTGTACTCTTCGCGCCCACAGGTACCCGCACCTCATTAAAACTGCATATCTACCTGCAATTAAGAAAATATCTTGTTCTGTTTTCTTTGATAGAGTATCAACGAAAATAAGACCGACACGCGACCAAGGGAAAACTATGCTTTGTTCGAGCGACTGAGCTGTTTAATTAGCTATTGGAAATTCAATGGGGCACCCAAAATTCACCTGCCAATCATGATTTTGTTCGTCTTTAAAGACCATCTTGTTCGAGAACGCATGCCACGCGAATGGCCACGCGCCGCTTCGCTTTCAGTCATCGATGACCCCTTCACCCCGCCAGGTGGTTGGCTGTACTTAATAATTGTACTAAACTTGTTTTCGGCAGAATACGTACATCTATAACACAATTTAATTGGATGAAATGAAGGTGCTGTGTGGCTGATTCAATTTTTATTTAAAAGGCGACAAATTGCCAAATGCGGCGACGTTTTATTAAAATTCTCGTAAAGCCCGGATAAGCTTTGGTCCGATTGACGAAATTCACTCCCCTACATTTGGAACAATAACCCGCGGTTTATGTCTTCTTATGTGTTGTTTCTTTATTTTTTAACTTAAATGCTCCTTCGTGCCTTTCTTTATCAATGTAAAACTTGTCGCCTTCCCTCTTTTTTCCACGTGGGTAGGAGTTTTTCAGGATAAACAAAACCCCCCGACAATGCTGCAATTTAGCCCTAAACTCCCGCCTTTGTTTACCCGCGATTTGTTTGAATGCAATCTAAATTAGACAAAGACTTTGCAACAGTGTGAAAATCGTGCCAAAAAAAGCCATCTTCTAAGATCGCGGCCCGAAATGTGTGACAACATTGTTTAATTCTTGCAAAGTGGTTCCGGATAAATTATGATGAGAGAAGCTTTTCAAATACCAAACCCCCTGCCGTATCGAAATAAAAGTGAATCGCAAAGCTCTTTAATGTGATAACAACCCAGTGTGAAATTACTAGCTGAGGAAAAAGCGTTTTAAACTTAAAACGCGTGCTATATTCTATATCGCTCAGTAGGAAACTTCTGATATTTGTGGACTCGGCCCCAAGTTTACATTAAACGCAAGGGTGCTTCCATAACGCCCCAGGTTAAAAAAAAGCAGATTTTAACGAGAATTTCATTTTGTACCTGTGTGTAATAAATTAAAACTGTTATTGCAAAGAGAAAGATCTGTAAATGGCCTCTTACAAGACTACTATAAGCGATGTACGGTAAAACACTATTGAACTCTAGGAGTACGCGTGGTATATTATCAACTTTTTGTTTTATGACAGTACATTTGAATAACAAAGCGAAAAGATCCTGACGCACGCGGCCACGCTTTTGTGGTAATCCACGCGGATTTGGAAGACAACTTGTCAGTGTTATAATGATCAGGGGATAACCTATTTACTTCAACAACTTTACAAGAGATGGAAAGCGCAAAGTAAAAAAAAAGTATGAAAAATGAATCAGTTAATACAATTAAAACTTTGAAAATGTTTTGGAAATTGTATTAACAGCATTAGATATTTTCTTGCTTTTCAGAATTTATGATTGGCTTGTTAAAAAAATTCTAGACCGCTTCATAAACTTCAAAGATTTGTGAATCGATAATAGCATAAATTGTGCAAAAGTAGTCCAACTTCGAGTACGATGGGCCGTGACACCTGGCTCTTCCAAAAAAGAAAGCAATTGAACCACAGTAACTCACAATGCTGTATTATCGAGCAACTAATTATTATTTCTTTCCAATAGGAACGCGACACAAATTTCTTTTGCTGTTGTGAAATAAATAATACTCAATTAGTATTTTATTTTTTAGCCTTTCAGGTCGAGATAAAATATTTATGTTAGAATGTATTCGATATCGCAATTATAAAACTATTTCGAGACTTGACGGCGACTTTTAAACATTACTACAGATTGGGCTGAGCTCGTTATTTTATTTTATTTTTTTTAAGTTTCTCGGGTGAAGTACCTCAGTACTGGGCAAGAAACTGTGTAGTTTACTACGTTTAGATATAAACTTTGATATACGATAAAGACGTTTTAGTATCTCTTTTTTACATCTTGTTGCCTAGCGATTTTGTACAAACTTTCCTCTTTCGGCATGTCAGATAGTACGGGGCTTCCACTCTCTAAAAAAAAACACATCTGTTTTTGTGGATTACGGCACTAAATTTTTATGAATTTATTTTCTGTCTCAGACAAAACAGATTCGTTCATTCTATTTTTATTTCAAGTTATTTTTCTTTGGTGATCTGTCCGTGAATGCCCGCCAAACACGGCTGTGTTCCTAAACAATCAGCTAAAATGAAATGTTACATCGTAAACACGAATCTTCATAAGAATATACTACCTCCAAAGGTGTCTCACCATCAAAAGAAGATTAAACATTCTTTCTAAAAAACTTGATAAAAAATTCATGCAGCTGTTTTTCAAGAGACGTTTTTATACTTCGTTGAAGTCCCCTGAGGCAAAAGATTTTTCTCTGTATTTTATTTGCAAAACAATGGTTATCGAGCTTCGATTGAAAAACAAACGCTTAAACATCCCAGATTTCCGGAAGCACCCGGTAACTGCTAAGCTGAGACATTCTGGCGCAATGTTTTGGAAACCTAGTAATTCCACACTCTATAAAGTACAACTACAGAACGTGAAAATGAGAGTTAGCAATTAGGTGATAATGAGCCAGCGAGGCGGGGTCAGTTTGGCTCAATTGTTCAGGCTAGTGATTAAGTGTGCCCTCAGAAAAGCACACGATTGGCTAATCCGAGACCTCCCTTGGGAGAACAACTTTTCTCTGTCCAATGACAGAAATGCTGAATGTTCGCGGTTGGACAGCTTGCCTTGTGTTTTTGTTTGTATTGCCCTCTTTTCAGCTGACATAATGCGCACAAAAGGTAAAAAGAGCACACGAGCGCAATAAATGCGGCACGCGTCCGACAAATTAGCCAGTTGATACACTGACACACTCGCTAGCCTCGTGCCATTAAGATTTGCGCGCGATTTGCACACAAGGTAGCCAAAACCTTTCTTTCGAGCTTGTGATCGTCGAAACTGAGAGAAAATTTGGTTGGAGATCTTGTAAAACTGTTTTTAAGTTCTGACAGCGTGATTAACCGAGCCTAATATAACTGTACTGAAGGTCAACTGAGCGAGTATGCCTCGATCATTTCTTGTTAAACTGAAAAAGAGTAGTCCCACCACAGTTCTTTGGGATAAAGGTGAGTTCAACTTTTTGCCGGCGAATTCTTGTAAGATTTTCTTTAATTGGAATGAAATGTAATTTTCCTTGAACTGCAGAGAAAATTTGGGGCAAAACCAAGCCTTGAAACACTGGAGTTTTTTAGATTCAAAACTGCCACACTTCATTAAATATTCATTAGCAAGCAAATAGAGACGGCAAAATCTCAAACTGCTCTTTCTCGTTCTTTTTTCTAGCAGGTTCTGACGAGACCACGGCACCGCCTAACGTTTGGGAGCCAATCCGAGTGGAAATCGAACCGACGCAGATCTTTCAGCCCATCAAGTTGGATCTTGCTACACTAGACCCAGAATTTTTAACTGGAAAAGGACAGCTGACGCCGAAGGCACGCTTTTTCAGCCCGTTTACTTTTAATTCCCTTCAGTTTAATTCTGACCACTGCGACATCGGTGTGGGCAAGCCATTCTACAAAGAAGCGCCATGCTCTTACGACTCTAGAAATTGCAGTCCCGTTAGCCTCGATGGTGCCTTGGTGCCTTCTCCAACGCGAAGCGATGACGGTTACCCAAGCGCGGGAATTTTTATTCCCGGAAGTGGTTTTCTTGGACTGGAAAACACAAAACCCTCTTCGCTTCAAATGCCGGGTACTGTAGTGAGTTCCGTCGGCCGCAAACGTCGTAACGGAGCACCCAAAACGTTTACCTGCGAAGTTTGCGGCAAAGTTTTCAACGCACATTACAACCTGACGCGTCACATGCCAGTACACACAGGCGCAAGACCGTTCAAGTGTAAAATATGCGGCAAGGGCTTCAGGCAGGCAAGCACGCTTTGTAGGCACAAGATCATCCATACGAAAGAAAAGCCTCATAAGTGTAACATTTGCGGAAAAGCTTTTAACAGATCCTCTACTCTCAACACTCACATTCGTATTCACGCCGGGTATAAACCATTTGTTTGTGACATTTGCGGCAAAGGATTCCATCAAAAAGGAAACTACAAAAATCACAGACTGACTCATACTGGAGAAAAGCCCTTTAAGTGCCATATCTGTGGAAAGGCTTTCCATCAAGTGTACAATCTGACATTTCACATGCACACGCACAATGACAAGAAACCATTTACATGCAAGGAATGTGGTAAAGGCTTCTGCCGGAATTTTGACCTTAAAAAGCATGTCCGTAAATTGCATGAAAACAAAGAACAACGTGACAAAAGTTGAACAATGAAGCACGCTTCGCAGTTGACCATGAACTCATAAAAAAGGGAAACGATTGTTCGAGCGAGCACTTTCCTATGTAATTCATAGCCTTAACTATGTACAAACTATAAAAAAAGTGTTACTGTAAAAAGACTATATAAGAAGACTAAACAGAATTATACGGCCTACGTTACAATATAACCCAGTTAAAGCGTCTGATATACAATCCGTGTCCAGTATAACGGAGATATTGACACGTGGAAAAACAATGGTAGTTGAAAAGAAAAAGATAAGATGTGTACATTAGAAAACAATAACGAGTATCTTGTTGTGAATATATAAATATCGGTTTATGTAGTCATCTCCTTTGGTGAAAATATAAAGTTTATCAATATGTGTAAATTATAAGAACGAAAGAACGAAAAAAATAAAATTTGAGGTGTTGTAAAGTATTCGCAAGTCTATAAGTTTTATTCTGGACTGGATTTAATCAAAACATATGATTTTAACGCTCTTAAAATGTTTTTAAATACGTATTTAATATGTGAATATTCAAAAGCGCGTACTTCACAGTTTGATGTAAAGTTTTAACAAGCAAATGAAAATACTTTCAAAACTTAATTGGTAAATGGAAGTTTTTATTTGCAAAACGTTCAGTTTTATTAATTTAGGTTCGCCTGCTGATACGTTAACTACCTGAGGTGTCCTCTCGGACCGAGCGGGATACTCTCTCGCATATATTAGCGGTAAATATATTTTGTATCGCAAATGCGCTCACGATGACCGCCGTAAACAAGAGAAATCTGCAAAAAACAACGTACTTTAAAGCTATTTTTTCATTTTTACCTTTCAAAATTTAAAAGTTAATGAACATTCTTTGGGTTGACTGAAATTTTCAAACAGGCTACAAAAAAACAGGGCCGAGTTGTTCAAAGCTTGGTTAAGATAACCCAGGGTTAGCGCGAAATTTGAATTCAGATTTGACAGCTTAAAAAGCAAATTCAGTTTAATTATTTTTTTTCTACAATATGATGATTGGATGATCTCCAAAAAATAGATAAAATTATCCGACGAAATGCTTTCGAATAAAAGAAAAAAAAAAAACAGATCAAAATTTAACCCCGGGTTAGCGCTAATCGACCTTCGAACAACTGGAACTAATTAAAAGTTTTAAAAAACGGAAGTGCAGACTCTTCTTTGCCTTTATTTTTTCTGGGGCGTAAGGTTTTTAAAATCTTCAGATCGTGATTTTTAGGTGAAAATTAAAACACATTTAAATTAATTATAATTTGAATCCTGGCTCGTCTCTACTTCACAATAAATGAACTTGCCGGCGGAATAAGACGAAAAAAAAAAAAAACGCGTAAGACGCTTACTACATTGCCGCGTTGTACGGCGGGTTATTGTTAAAGGGGCCTCTTTGACCGACCATCCTGATGTTTTAATTCGCTATACCAAATTAAGAGAAGATTTAATGTAATGAAGTGCTTGTAACATAACCCCGTCTGGTAAATCGTAAAAAGAGTTAGGAGAACACTCAGTATGCATGCGATCAGTTATGGACCAACTAACCACTATCCACCCTGTTTATTAGCAGCTGTGCTCTTTTTGGGGGGTATTCAGACTGCCGTCGAACCTACGCGTCAATTTTCAGCGAATTTTGCTTCAATTTTCAGCGATACACAGAGTATAAGAAAAAAGATCGTGCTTTTACAATTTAATAACCCTTGTTATAAGCAAGAAAAAATAAGATAAGCCATAAGGCTTTTAATTCATGTCACTTATTTGGGAACATTTAAACTTACCACCACCACAATTTTTCTTGCAAAACTAGTCGACTTTTTCCGCCAATGTCTTGTTTCGGGCATGCGCGCGTGGAAGGGGCAATTTGAAAGATTGCCTACTCGTATTCGGATGTAGGTTAAGCCCCGTGCAAACGGACGCAACATTGTTGGCCAAAAACTCCCAACATTGTTGGGTGCGACATGTAACAATGTTAGGAGTTGTTGCGTCCTTTTGCACCGGCGTAGCTTTAAGGTCTCTAATACTTTCCTGATCCTTGACATCCCCCTGTACAGTGGTCATCGCCACATTCCTCCCTCTACAAGAGAAGTTTGGAAATAAAGACTACGGTGGGTGAAAATTTTAAATTAAATTCGCCCTTATTTCGAACCCTTATGTACGATCATTACATTTCAATGAAAACTCTTTCATTCACTCTGTTACGCAATGTAATCGTACCTATGGCGGGTCCCGAAGGAGCTTGGGGAACCTGTGCAATGGCAGGAAGACTCATCCAGCGGTCGGGAGAAATAGCGTAATGGTGCGTGATATCGAGGTAATGAAATGTCCTGGCCTGGATGCTCAGTTTCGGGATCAAATGACCAAAAGATCCTGGGCAGTTTTGAGGATTTAATGACTTTAAATGGTAAGCGAGATTTCTCCGAAATAAATCATAGCTATTTTGATTGATAACTTGAGCGTTTCTTGAATTTATTTATATATTTTCAGGCGGAAAACGGTGTCAATGGCGAAGCGGAGCAGGGACTGTGCTGGACTGTCAAGGTTTTAGACGCTAGCAAAGATGGCGAGATCGTCAAATTTACGATTCAAACAAACACTGTGAGTGTACAAACTTCAGCTACAGGCGAGGCCTTTCAATCTCGTGCAAGCGCATCCTGTTTAGCCATGTTTGCAGCAAATTAAGATCAATGCAATCGATGTTTCGGCAATTTTGTTTGAGGGGGCATACACAACTCAGCTCCGGTTTTAGGTGGAATTCAATCATCTTAGAAATTGAAAGTTATCGGAACTTTTCAGACCTCATACATTAAATTTGCATGTAATAGTTATTGCTTTCGTATTTGCATCTCATTGTTTCGCATCTTGTTTTACGCACGTACCACGGAGATCTTTCCGCCCCCTCCCCCTCCCCTTTAGTCTCCACTTCTTCTTCTTGGTGTTAGTAAGAAGAGGCTTTTTATTCTTAATAATCACGTTTTCTATTCTCATGGCCCTCATTTTTCACTAAATACTCCTATTCTTAGGAGAAATTAGATTCTGATCACCATTGGCAGCTCACAGAGCAGTCCCTTGAATGTACTAGTCCACCCCTTCAATTGCAGGGTGGGAAGGGCTTTCTAGGCTGGTTTAAATGCACTTAGCTTTCTTATAAATTCCAGCAGATGTTATCAAGCAGAGAATAAATGCCATGTGAATTCTGAATTCACAGTTGCAGGTTGTTGTTGCCCTCTTGTTTCTAATATTTTCTGCAACGTGTTCACAGGGTTCTTGTTCACAGTTTTTCCATATGAATTACTACTTAATTTTCCAGTGAGATTATCCACCTTGAAATTATTTATTTTTAAAAAACCAAATGAAAATAACAGCTTGTTATTGTAAACTTGATTATTAGGCTTTATGTTCATATTGAACAGCTTAACTTATAGAGCAAAGCTGTTCTATATGGATGGTCTAGTTCAATATAGATTATTAATATTGTTAGTGGTGCTCTCCAAGATACTTCTATACGCTTCTATACTTCTATACGTTGCGCTTTAGAAAACTCATACGCAAGGAAATCTTATTCAAACTTTACAAAGCGTATATTTTACCTCACTTTTATTATTGCTCCTCTGTCTGGCACTTTTGTGGAGCGCGCGATGCGGATAAGCTTGAAGCTTTAAATAAAAGAATACTTAGATTTATACTTGGAGATTACTCGTCTCCATACAACACTCTTCTCTCAAAAGTCAGCTCTACTTCTTTGTTTAACAAACGCATTCAAAATTTCCTCATTCTGTTATATAAGAGTTTGTTTTTCACTCATTTTCCTACTTATATGAAGAATATGTTTTCACTCCGGTCCTCTTCCTATGATCTTCGTGGCAACTACATTCTTTCACTAAGTAAACCTAAAACAACTACCTATGGTCTTAGCTCCTTTTCTTACTTTTCAGCTAAGCAGTGGAATGCACTGCCGACTTTTTTTTCGTACCAGTTTTTTTTTTGCAGACTTTAAGACTAAAATACAGGATGTTACCTTCATGTAGATTCTTTTTGCCTGACATACTTAAACTTAAAATTGTAAATTGTAAATGATATTTTCTTTCCTTGCATTTAATGTATATATATATTTTCTATATAGTTTTTATGTAGTGTCAGCTCGAAGATATTAGCTTGTTAGCTACTCTAAAATTCGAGTATAAATAAAGTTTTATGTTATGTAATGTTATATGTTATACTTTTCTTCTAATACTTTGTTTAAAATATACTCCAACCAACCCATAAAAAGTGTTTATTTTTCCCTGTGAGATTGCATCTCAAAGGTAATTGGCTTTCAGGCCACAGTGTGTCACTCACAATCGTGTCTTCTGTGTTTTTCTGGAGAGAAAAAAAACAGACACTTTATTTATTATCAGGATTGGAAAAGTTATTCAGTAAAAGAACATTTAGTGTAAAATCTCCAGTTTCTTCTCGGGGAGCTAGTGTGGGGCCTTGGCCTTGTCCCTAGGAAATCATTGTCTTTAGAGCTGATGGGTTAACAACCATTTTGTTATTTTTAAAGGGTGAAGGAACTGGAAGTGAAGAAGAAAAAGGAGTGATAGTCCTTCGACAATTTGAAGATTTAGAATGGCTCTATCACTGTTTAATGGCACACAATAACATTGATGGAGTTGTTGTAAGTTAACTAACATTCATCCATTACCCCAAAGCAAAACTTGAATTTACAGGCAAGGTTAGGTTAGGCTGCACATTCCCAAAATAATGATCAATCAATAATTATTTAAATCTGTGTTGCTGTATAAAAGGATTCACTTATGAGTTTCCCTATTAATGATTTTAAATCAAGCAGTTCTTCTAATTCAGTTGACCTGTAGAATGCTTTAGGTAATTAATAGTATCATTTTATCCTAATATTTAGCATTAGGTTCTGAATAGATCATGTTTTCGTTGATGTGGAACTCAACCTCTAGAGCGCATTATTAATAATATGATGTTATCTTCTGTCATCATATCCAGATTCCTCCGTTACCTCCAAAGCCTGTCACTACAGTCAATGCTGCTGAAGCCAAGTCAAAGAAACAGCTAGGTAGGAGAAGTCTGTATACCTCTGACAGAAACACTCTAAATACAGCCAAACATGTATGTAGCAGTCATCCTTAGGAAATGGCTAAACAACCTGTTAATGCTGGCTCAAAGAATGTGTAAATTTTTGTTTCCTGTTTTCAGGAAAAGATGCAAAACACATGGTGGCTGATGAATTTTCAAGGGACTGTCGTAATCTTGAGAAGTAAGTTCAATATGTCTTCAATCTGGAGATTTTCTTTATTTTTTCCTCCCACCCCACCCCCGCCATTAAAGGCAGTCAGCCTAGCCCCCTGTCCCCTATTCATTTTTGTAGGGGTACTTGCCTGGCAGTTTTTCTACATGTACTTGTTCCGGGCATCTGTGCGTAGCATGTCTTACCCACCAGTTGACTTTTGGCCTCTTCACATGAGTGCGGCTAGCCGAGCTAGCCTGGTCAGTGGTTGATGAAATTTGCCTTGGGATCATTTGAGAAATTTCAGCCTGGTTTTCTGAGACGAGACAAAGCCAAAGATCCTGGGTATGAGTTTTGGCACCAAATTTGCTGGGACACAAAGCAAACACGATGAAACACAAAAATTTTAAATTTCACACCTATCATAGCTTCGGGAACTCTTAAAGCTGTATCACTGCAGTTAAATGGGGTGCTTATGATCTGGAAAATAAAGCAGGAAATGCAAGACGATGCCATCAGGACTGCCAGAATTCATCCCACTTTCATCCTGTTAACTAGGCTGAAGTGTTTGGCAAATTTCTAGCCCACTTACCGAGATCTCGAAAACCCACCCAGGCCACCCTCTCATATGAACACATTTAACACAATTAGGAAGTAAGGTGAGATTTCAGAAACCGGGCTCATCTGGTTCATATCTGTGAAAAGCTTAATTTTTTTTTTAAGTTCTTTCAGTTTTTAGGTTGATCATATAAGTTGCATATCTCACGGCCACATGCATTTTTCTCATATTTCTGTGGTATCGTCCTTTAGATTTTTACAACTTGTTATTGCGCACCCTGCCTTCTCAAAAGATGAGGATCTTCAAAAATTTCTAAAAGAGGAAAATGTGAGTTATGACTTTGAAAGTAATCATTGTTGGTTCTGAGTGTTGTTGCAATTATGATAATTTATTCTGCACGTTATTGTACCTAAAAAGAGGCATCCTTGGACTTTCCAAGGACAAAAATTTCCTCCATCTCCGAGATGGTTTCTGTGAAGTAGCAGTGTGCAAAGAAAATAGTGTCTGATAGCCCAGGGCTAGTGGATTTTGCTATTAGGCTAGGGAATTCTGTTCTTTACTTGCCCGAAAGCAAATGATTTGAAGGTTTATTGGGGATTTTAATCATGGAAGAACTGTTATCAATCCTGCGCATCAAAAAAACATTTCAGGCAAGTTGAAATGACTTTTGAGTTAGTGCATGCTACAATCTCAGACAAACACTTTGTAAAATTCTACTCCCTTTCATTTCCTCCCTCCCTTTTGCAATGTTGTGGTAGCCACGTAACTTCTCAACATTGCAGAGGGAAAGGAGAATGTGTGGCTGTTTCAATGATTTTTGGTGTGTATTGTTACTGCAACTTGCCTGAATAGCAAGCTGTAAAAGTGACTTTCTTTTCACTCTGAGTAGTTTGACTGTATATATCCAAGGAATTGTTTATTTTGGGGATCCAATACTGCATTTACTCAGTAGGACAACTTCTTAACTGAAGATAGAAACAGATGACAAAACATGACTTATGCTTTAAAATATAATTTCTAAGGAGTCTTTCATGACCTGTTTTCTCTTATTCTGGTGCATGTGTGCTGGGTATGTGTTGGATGAACCTTGGTATGAAAAACAGTATTTCATTCTGGTTGATCTTTTATCAGTGAAGATTGTATGATATAATGAGTATGTGTAATATATGTGGTGGCTAGTTGGATTGTCATAAAGTGCAACTTATTCATCTTGATACCTTATTGACTACAGTAGTTTATCCTCATTTGTTTTCAAGAGTTGTAGTTCCTTTTATGTTTATGCATGGTCAATAACTTGTTCTTTTAATAGCCTCCAGTTAGAACCAAAGTCAAGAAAGGTGTGATGGAAAGTTTGTCCAAATCTGTTAGTGACTTGAGGCATCACAATCACAAGGTATGGTTATTATTCTTGGTTTAAATAATATTTCCAATTTATTTGCCAAAGTTACCAGTGCACATGTACATACTGTATGAACAACCTCTTAAAGCTTCCTCATTAAACAAAGTTGGTCATGTCAAAACAAATCAGTCTGCTAAAAATTAGCTTGATCCTGCAAGAAATGAAAGTCAACCTAAAAAGTCACAAGCGCCTTTTTAACAGGAAACCCTTCAACTGGGAAAAAAAGTCTGCGTCTCAAGTTCTCTGTTTAAGGAAATAGGAATCATTATGAAACTCACTTGTTTGTTGGTGCTTGTTATTATTGTTTTAGGATCTTGATGATGAATTCCAGAAGAAAAGAGATTTTGTGGAGCAATACACACCTTTGACTAAAGAAACTTTTGGGGTAAGAAAAAAAATATTAGTGTCCAAATGATAACATCATCAGTTTAATTTAGGGAAAATTAGCCAACCTCTGTTAGCGACGTAGCTGCTTCTTTTCGCCAGTGGCCTGTATTTATTTAAACTCCCGTGCAGCCATTGTTGGGTCTTTGTCAGGTGTTCCTTCCCCACATTCGTGGGGGGAATGGGGAGCGAAGCCCTAAGAACATATGAGTGAGAGGATAGCACCTATTGGAAGTTCAATAATCCAGTCCTATTCTCTTATTTTGAAAGCAGAGGAAGATTAATGAGAAGAAAAACTGTGATCAGTTGGGTAAACACTGAGAAAATGTCTGTAGTTTCTCGGCTGTCTCCCTTGGGTTCTTTCCGGCATCTGCCCCCTTCTCATTATTGTCATGCACCACAATCCAAGAGAATTTTAGCGTTCTTGCACCTTTGAAAAAATTCCCGCACAATAGCCTAGGGTACTTGCATCTGCGTTCTTTTCCTCTCTAGTGACATTTTTACAGTTGGACTACACTCTGTTCCGTAACTGTTTGACTGGTTTATGTAAAAGGCTCTTACAAAACTTATGGGGAAGACAATTGTATTGCAATTGTTTTTTGGTGTGGGGGATGGGTGCAATCACCTAATAACGTGACACAATAGATTGAAAAGACACTAACAATACCCACACTGCAACACAATGCCTAACCAACAATGGTTTCCACAACACTAAGAAACACCCACTAATCGCGTTCGTCAGAACGCATCCTAATCTTGGTATTCCTGTGGTACAAAGCCACAAATTTTCGAGGTATCGCGGGCGACTGCCGATTAGCCGCCCCTACTAATTTTATCAGGGACATTTCGGCCAGGAAACTGGACTCCTTTCGACTCAATTTCGTTTCGATGAATGACAAACGCCGATCCTAGTAATTAGTCTTTGAACAAAGTTACAGGGTGTATTGTCTTCAGTGGATGTGATTTTTATCCCTGCTATTTTCTCCATAAATTTCTTCTTGTAGAACTTCATCAAAATGGTGCACAGTCAGCAACGTAAGTCAAATCTAATGATTTTAAAACCCCTTTTAGTAGCTCGCATCTGTGAGAGCTGTTAATGAGCAATGCTTAGACATCCAGTCAAGCACGCACTATCATTAAAACTCCTTTAAGTTGCTAGCATCTGTAAGAGCTGTCAATGAGCAATGCTTAGACATCCGATTAAGTTTGCACCATCATAAGCATTCCAAACTTTTTTGAGCATTCTATATTGTTAACTTAGCGTACATTGTAAAAGCGTTACTAAGAAGAATTTCAGTTCCTTTTGTTAAATTATTAATATTAGTTAAAATAGTTGAGTAGCGCCGGAAAGTAATATCTACATTTTGCTGGTCGGTCAAAGTTTAGATGTGACAACAACATTGTGGAGATGTTTTTAAATTCATTTATAAGTTACTGATGTCTACCGTGTGATAAATGTTAGTACCAGGGACGAAACGAATATAAATAAACGGCACCTGGAAATGGGAAAAAAATTGACCACTCAAGATCCTTTGTTTTGCGACCTCTCATCCAATCTCTTTTTTTTTGGCGGAGCTGTATATATTACGTTCTATCAAGTGATCGACCATTCAATTATATTTAAGTGTAGCCTTAAACGACGCAAACGTTGTTTTGGCTCGTTACGTGTTCCTCTCAAGCGAATGACGGTTGTTGCGTGACGAGAGAAAAGAAAGTTAAAAGATCAATTTAGGTCTCTGGGAAACTGCCCACCTACCCCTCCCCTAAGTCATCATTTTGCCCTAAGTTAGAAGTAAGTGTTCATGCTAGCTTATGGGAGGGGTAGGTGGGCAGTTTCCCAGAAACCTAAATTGCTTCAGAAAGTCTACGTAGGGTCTTAGCATAATTGAATTTTGCAGGTGAGTTGTTGCTGATGCTTGATAAGGGGAAATACAATCTTGGGAATAAGAAGAAAATTTTACATTTAATAAACTGTGTAATAATGATAATAATAATAATAATAATAATAATGTGTTTTTAGGAGTTGCTTTAGCTGTGGCTGATTTTAGTAGCGCGGTAATGACTGCATCTGCTATCGACGACAACAGCACAAAGGAATTAAAAGGGTAAATTAAATTTAGACACTTTTTCGTATATTAAATTGATTTGTGTTAGACATTCCAGAGTCTCTCCCACAATCTTGTACCCAGCTTCCTCTCTGCCTCAGTAATAATACCACGAAAGAAGAAGAGCCAAAAAAACAAGTTTATGATAAGGAGTACTTACTCAAGAAACTGTTCTCTTTTATCTTTCTTAAAGTCTTTCTCTTGTAACCGTGTCTCCTGGTCATTAACGTTATTTTGCAGAAACTTTGGCACCTTTTCAAGTTCACTTAATGGTGTGAAGGTACGTCTTTAATAGCTTGGTCCCTAGGTCATATTATTACGCAGCTTGTGCGTTTCGGGTCACGTGGTCCGTTCGTCTCGGAGACGTCACCGAAATGCATTGACCGTGAAGGCCTGGAAAAAAGCCGCACAGGCAAAGTAGGCAAAGTAGATCAGTCAACTTGATTTCTTGTTCATTGTTATTTCCTCCTGAAGTTTCTCGAATTTCACATTAAAGCGTTTGGTGTTTTATTTTTCCTTTGTTTTAGGAGTCCTTGGATGTTATGTCCACGAATGATGACAACACTTTAGGATTTACCTTAGAACTTTATTCAAGATACATGGAAGCAGCGAGGGTGGGTAACACAGCAGCAACAATTTATTGAAATAAGAAATAATCGTCCAAAAAACTTGAGTGAAATCTCTTGAATAAATGAGATACTTTGTGACTTCTCTTGGCTCAAAACTCTCAGCAATTGTTTTGATCTCGTGTCCAACCATAGGAGATGCTTTTCCGACGAACCTACAAGATGGTGGAATTTGAGAATGCTACAAAAGCACTAGAGAAAGCAAAACCAAAGAATCAAGAAGCAGTAAGTGCCTTATTCGCGATATAAAGTTAATATCTGTGGACGAATAAGCCTTTGTTAAGAATACTATATGCGTAAAAGCTTTTCTTTAGGATTTCTAAATTCCCAGTACTTCGTAACGAGGATTATTATGAAAAGCCAAGTTTCTCTAAATTCTTTCTTTTAATTGTCAGTGGCGTCTATTTAGTCATTTTTTCTTTTTGTTTTCTGATATGTCAAAGTCCGCATATAACTTTGGTCTGGTTATGTTAATATGTTTTTTCAGCTCCAGAAAGCTAAAGAAGAGGCTGAAGAAGCCTTCACTAATATTTCTGAAGTTTCTAAGAAAGAGGTGAGGTCACTGATCGAAGTTTAGTAAACATTTTGTGATGGAGTACAGAGTGCACGAATCTCCTTATTATTGCGGGGTAGCGGTTCAGTGCGTTCTTTAAAATGGTGGATAGACACCGAAAGCTTTGAAGAACTGGGATCAATTCAGGTTTCTGGGAAACTGCCCACTTACCCCTCCCCTAAGCCATCGTTTTGCCTTAAGTGAGAAGTAAAAGTTAACTTTAGCTTAGGGGAGGGGTAGGTGGGCAGTTTCCCAGAAACCTAAATTTATCAAAGATCTGATAGGCTACTGGCGGATAGGGGGGAACTTAAGCAACCTTCACAGCGACGGCAGTGAAAACGTTACTTGTAAAGTGCATTCATTTTTTTATAAACTTTATTAACGATTAGCGATTATTATAACTTGGCCAATTTGCCACATGTAGGCAAAGTTTCCCTTAGTATTCTTAGCGACCGTCTCCATCTGCAGAAAGACAAGATAAGTTTGTCGTCGTGTGTAAAATACTCCGCTGTGAACAGGCTCTCTGTTCGGGGGAAGAGGGCTAAAAATCGCGAGGAGACAGCAAGGAAAACCATGGACGAGAGGAAGTTATTATTAGTAAATCATTATTGTGGCCACTAAGTGGAACGGGAGGTTATTGTTACAAATAAAGGCTTGGCTTCTGGGGTTTTAATAACGGCCGCTTTTCCGTTTATTGAAAGTAATAAGTGTGGCACCAAGTGTGATATCGCTGATGATATCTTTTATGTGTTTCAGTTGGGTCGTTACAACAGACAGAGAGTGTTGAGCCTGCAGGCAAGTCTTATCCAGTACGCGGAGTCTCGACTGAAAAATGGAAGAGATACGTACGCCATATTAGCTAAACTATTAAATGATCTTAAGAAATCTTCCTAACTCACTAGGTAATTGAATGCTTGATGGTTTGGTTAAATATTATTTTTTAATGGGAAATCACGAATGATGTGAAATAACATTAAGCTTTGCTGGCACAATTGATTTCCATCTTATTTGTAGTAATGTTTTCCAATTGCAGCAAATTTTAAATTGACAAAATCGCACTAAAAGTTTATAAAATAACGATCACTTAAAGGGTATAGGTAAAAAAATTTTCTTTTCTGTGATCATTAGTAATTGATTACACAAGAAAAGTGGTAGAAAAATGTGAAAATTATGTATTTTTTGACAATGAAATTTAAAACATATAAAAGAACCTCGTTTACAGTGACGTGTCGGCAACAAAAATATGATAAATCATCATTCACCACGTTAGAAATGAGAAATTGTTACTGAGGACATAGAAATAGGCCAGTTTTTCATCCCCCATGATGCACCTTATTTGCCCCCAAAATTTGCATAAGCGTTGTTTTCAATTTTCTCTTGGGACGGCTGTAATACACAGGAGAAATGAAAAACAAAGGTTATGCAAAATTTTGGGTGGCAAATAAAGTGCATTATGGGAGATGCGCAAGTGGCGTATACACTGGCCAATAGCTGACCGGCGCGTCCCCAGTAGCGATCCCAGAAGTCTTTGCAAAAGCTAACTCGGCTCAGTTTCCTTCTCGTTTCTCAAGTGGCGAATGGTGAATAGTAAATAGGCAGGTTAAGCAGCAACGTTTTCTAGCAATCGCAACTGAGCTTTTTTCTCCTTTAATATGCCTTGATGCCACCAAATTTAGACTGTTCACAGTCCTCTATTTTCCCGTAAGATCATCGAGATCGAGCGCTTTCTGTTACGGGCTGCCAACTTGCATGAGTGTCAAAACTACTTAGGGGGCGGGGGCGGATGGGAGGAAGCGAGAAAAATAGAGGGACTGTAATAACATCACTGCAGCTCGCGTTCAGGAGGCGTGACAGGAATTTCACGCCTTTTACCATTCAGTAATTAAGAAACTCCGCTGGTGATGAAAAACATGCCAGACACATTTAGCATCGATTACGCGTGTTTACAAATACCCCTTTTCGAAACCATAATTTTATAATGTTTCTGGGTTATTCCTCGAAATAAAATCGGCAAACATGCACAAGAAAACATTTTCCTAATCAAAATGCCAAAAATCCTTCGTGTGTTAGCGCAAGATGTGCCTTATGGTATGAAAGCGTACGTTTTATGGAAAAGTCGACTTGTCAACGACTTGTCAATTTAGGCAACTTAAACTAAACCCGTTGTCAACGCAAATTAACATCTATTGTCTAATGACCAATCAAATGCCTGCGTTGCTGGTACAACGCGCTTCGTGAACACGAGCTGTGGTGATGTTATTACAGTCCCTCTATTTTTCTCGCCCCCCCAGAGCTATAATCCCCTCGGTACATTTGAAAATCAAGATACCCGTGACGGTAAGACGCGGTATATCTAAACGATCTCACGAAAAAATAGGGGACTGCGAACAGTCTAACCAAATTTGTATGGCTAAATGTCTTTATTCCTATAGAGACGATTTGCCTAAAAGTTTGTTCAAAATTACGGCGTAAGTGTGCAAAAAGTCCACTTTCGGTTGGCGTGCGCGCTGAAAAACGTCTAGTTGTTAACCGTAATTAGTTGCCCCCATATTGTTGGGGCTTTTGATAAAAGCTGGCCTCTGTAGGGCTCTCAGATTCCAATTCCACTTACGTTGTTAGTTTCAAATGATAGTCGACTGATTACGAAAACGCCATGCTATTTGCATTAATTGCTGATCCCCTTGAGGCATATAATTATTTTTTGCATTTTTTTCTGAAGCTAACATTTTGTCGACAACTTACCTATCTTTTACATATCCTGGCCCGTTCTCTTTATAAATGTAGATTAAAACCAATTTTGATATAACTTTGTTCCCAAAGTTATTGTTTCTGGGGTTGTTTATAAGATGGCTGCTGTTAATCTCAGACGTGACAAACTGAAGAAAAGGCAAAGTTTGCCTTTAAACATGACTGTTTTGAGACGAACGAGGAATTACGCAAAAGATATCAAGATTGGCTTTGAATCAGGGTGTTTGTCACCGATTAGACATTTCCTACCCACACCGCCACACTTGATAATCTTGATAATAATGGTCCGCGGATATACAATTTGACAGGTATGAATTAACTGTGATGTGGCCATCCATGTAAGTCCTTTGTGCTTACACATGAAAATGAGAATTCGCTCTCGTTCTTTTGTAGAATAATATGCGTTACGGACGGTCGTACGGACGTCCATGTGACAACCACAATTTCTCGCACAGTGCGCGCTGGAGCTCCGCATTGTCTTTAGAGACTTATATGGATTCTTCTTCTAGTATTACTGTTGGGGCTTAAAGCGGGGTCAGAGGGTATCTACTCAGTGTAAAATCATTTAAAAAATCTGTAACAGCGAGAAACCGACTGGGGATCCTACAACTTACGCAGTTTTTCGTACTTCTGGGCCGGAATAAATGGATTAATGCTCTGCTGTTGTGTTAGATCCTTCCAAAACTTCGGGGACGTCGAGAAAATACAGCTTGTACACAATTTCGCTTTCAGCGTGTACTCCTGGGAAGTATAAGTTCGATTATATCTCGAAACAAAGTTGAATGCACATTAAATCGTGCAGCAGTTACGCGCCTAACTTTAAAAAGCACAACACTCTCTGTTTCAATAAGAAGAATGTTTATTAGCACCTTTCATGCAAAAGGAATTGTTAGCAGCGCATCAGCCTTAAATACTACGTCTTATTCTATAGCATTCTCTCATTCTAAGCGTTCTTTCGACTCTAAATTTTGGCGGAACAAGCTATGTTTACCCGTCTAAATTTAGCCATTACAAAACTTTGCCATTAACCCGTTAAGTCCCAATATCAACATACAAATTCTCCGAACTGATCTCCATACATTTCCTTTAAGAATCAGTTGAGAGAATTTAATAACAGATCAAGGTATTTTCTCTTTGGTGATCATTTGTTAATTCTCATAACTGTATCTCTTGACAATTACTGGATATTGTTATGAGAAAATTGATGTTGGTCACTATCGGGACTTAAAGGGTTAAATACACCATACTCGTGACAAATAAAAGAAGAATTAGGACTTGTTTACATGAAAGTGGAGGACCCCAGATCGGTGACGTAAAATGTAGCGGGTCACCCCACTTATCGTGGAGACGTGATCAAATTACAATGGGAGATTATATGGACAGGCGGGTTACCCCACCCACTAGGGGTAAAATCATAAAAAAACAAGCAAAACAATAACTTAAAATATAGCAAACAAAGGTATGTGTAATGTTTCAGCATCAGAAATCGCCTCGAGCTACCGCAACGTCTACAGAGTACGATACTGTGTGTGTGAATGAAATCTGACAAAATCTTTGCTTTGATAGAAAACTAGAGGAGCTGTGCATGAAATTCATTAAAATGAAGTGCAAATGAAGTTTGCTTTGACAGCAAATTAAAGGGAGCTGTGCAAATTCAAACCGTGTGACCCAAAGAACCAATGAAAGTAATGTATTTCTTTCCACTTTGGATGACATCATTTAGCCTATAGTCTGAGGAGGGGTAGGTGATCTACTTGCAAAAAGTAGCTTCAAGTAAAAGTGTGAATTCCCGGCATTTTTGACCTTGTGCGATTAACTCTTGCCTCAAGGTCTATCTTGAAGTATATTCTTGTGGCGTCAGAAAAAAGTTTCATGTCATTCTACTTTGGAAGCCAGTTTAATTTTGAACGTGTTGTAGGTGTTATTTGATACGCCTAAAGAATTTCTACGCTACTAACTACTGTTTGAGGATTAGTCTTTGATAAGACCTTTCCATACTGGATTACATAGTGGCGTTGTCTGTTATAACATGTGTTATACTACAATTTAGGGTGCTTAGAAATGCCTTGGGTTTTGGCTGCAGAGAATATCCTCTCTTCCTATTTATGTTCACGACTAAGAGACGGGAATGGGTGTGCAGCTCGAACTGTGGACCCTAAGTGTTAAATTCCGTCCAAATAACATACAAAGTTCAACATCATAACTAAAGAATGGTATACAAATATTCCTAAATAAAGTCACTCAGGCTAAACTATTCACGTGCGCCGCCTGATACGAAAACCCAACAACCCACTGGGAAAAATTGGGATCGTATTCCCGAACCGATGCGGTCGCACAACCTTTGGGGGTTAAAGGTAAAAAATCAATCGATAGATGAACAAAGTAAGATATAAAGATAAAAGTTGATAGTTCGAGAGCTGAGATGAATACGTTACAACTGTCAAAAACTTATATACCTAATAACAATAGAGTCTATTAACGCCATAGTGGCTCACTTGCGTTCACAGCAATAGGAAAGTATTTACATTCTCTGTATGCTCACTGCCACTACGTTTAGCTCCGCCGAATGTAAATACATTTCCTTGCAACGGAAAACCGTAAAAAAAGGCTGAAGTGCAAATGAAGTTTGCTTTGAAAGAAAATAAGTGGAGCTGTGCACGAAATTCATAAAAATGAAGTGCAAATGAAGTTTGCTTGATAGGAAATTAAAGGGGGCTGTGCACGAATTCATCAAAATGCAAACAGTGGGATCCAAAGAAATGTATTTCTTTCCACCTCGATGGCATGATTTAGCCTAGTCTGTAGGAGGGGTAGGTGTTCTACTTGCAAAACGTAACTTCAAGTAAAACTGTGAATTCTCATTTTTGACCCTGTACGATTAACTCTTGCCTCAAGGTCTCTGGTAAGGAATTTAAGCGTCGACTATCTTGGAGTATATTTTTGTGGTGAGAAAAAGAAGTTTTATGTCGTTCTACTTTGGAAAAGGCAGTTCAACTTTGAACCGTGTTGTAAGTGTTATTTGATTCGACAAAAGATTTTTTAACGCTACTATCTACTCAATTTAAATGTTCTTAAAACATAGCCAATCTTAACGTCTTAATGATGCTGACAGTTTCGATGACTGTCAGCCATCTTCATCAAACCTGAAAAACATTAAAAGTGTCAGAAGCCTTCTGAAGGTGTTAATTATTGCGGTAAACGCGCAAAGTCACTCTGGAGACGCCCCCTCCCCCCTGGTTTGGGGGTGGAGATCACTTGTGTCCATATGGGAGAAAGCTGATAGGCTCCCTCGTCCCTGTTCATATATAGTAGGAGTGTTCGATCTAATATATATACTTTCCTTGATCCATCGCTTAAACTTGTCGCTTTTCTGCTCAACTATTTCACTTGCTTGCCAATTCATAATATGATTGTTCTGACAGACGTGGTCTGTTATGGCTGATTTATGGTGTTCATTGGTAGAGGATCTTGTGAAATTTCTGTCAGAGATCTTTTCTGCTTCCTTTCTGTGTTCTGTGATCCTGGATCCCAGCTGTATCCCTGTTTCACCGATGTATACCTTTTCGCATTGTCTGCATGGAATTTTGTACACCTCTCCAGCCTTTTTTTGCTTCTCAACTTTGTCCTTCGGGTGAACTAAAACCTGTCTGACGGTGGTTTGAGGTTTAACCACTGTGCCTACCCTGTGTTTGGTGAATATACGTTGTATTTTCTCCGTGAATGAATCTTGTGCTTTATCTTTCTTGGATTTATCTTTTCTAATAGTTTTCTTTCTACAGAGTGGCTTTGCGCGTTTATCGCAATAATTAACACCTTCAGAAACCTATTTAAGGCTTCTGACCAGGCTTCTGACACTTTTAATGTTTTTCAAGTTTTGATAAAGATGGCTGACAGTCATCGAAACTGTCCGCATCATTAAGACTTTAAGCCTGCCTAGTTTTAAGAACATTTAAATGGACTTATCAACTTCACTAGCTATAGCCTGATGAATTTCTTCAAGAAGCTACTATCTACTGTTAGAGGATTTGTCTTTGATAAGGAACTTGCCATACTCGGTTACATACTGGCGTTGTCTGTTATAACACGTGTTATACTACAATTTATGGTGCTTAGAAATGCCTTGGGTTTTGGCTTCAGAGAATATCCTTCATTCTTCCTTTATACTTCTGTCTGATCGTCATGCTTTCCAAAGTTCGCATTAAAATATCGTGGTTCTCCTCCGATGTCTTAAGGTTTTTTTAAAGGTTGGTTTCGAGGGTATTAACACGTTTTAGATCTTTATATTCCTGATTGGTTTTACAGTCGTTTGTGCTCCTAGGAGTTTCATTTTGGTCTCTTGGTAACTCGCTTGGTTCTTTGTAATGTTCTTTAATAGAATTTTTGTCTGATGTTTCACTGCATAGGTGTTCACGTTCTCCGTCTTTGCTAGTACCGGTCAGCTCACCGGTTTCTTCAACCCCCGGCTTCGTTTCTAGCTCGTATCCTTCATTGTCTTGGCCGGGGTGGCGTGCTTTATCTTTCTTGAGTAGGCATCGAGTAAGATGACCCCTGAGTTACAAAAAATAAACAGAGAAAAACCATCTATATCTTATTTACTAGCGTAGCTTAGAAACAACAAAAGAAAAATGGCTGTGAAGGCTAGCCTGTTGTCCGTTGGAGAGGAGAGATTGCGTGACGGTCCTTAATAATGTTTAATATGAATGAATGAGTTTAGAATATTTATAACAGTTTTACATGTTTGTAGACAGGGGCGGATCCAGGATTTTTTTTAGGAGTGGGTGCACTCGTCTCTTGCTCTACTACTTCAACACCAATAAACCACATAGTTTATTTTTTTTTTGCAGAATACCAGTTGTATTAGAAAACCGCAGGTCATCTCAGGGGGGGGTGCGCACCCCCTGCACCCTCCCCCTAGATCCGCCCCTGGTAGAGGTGTGGTTGGTCTAACCTACAGGGGTGCCAGATGACAAGGTTTTACGCTATTTATGGTGGGATAAATGCCAGCGACTATTTTCGTTACAAAACTGTTCGAAAAAGCGAATATTGTCTAAGAATCTCTAAAGCTCGAGAAATGCTTTAAAACTCTGTATAACTGTTTCGTATTAGACGAAAAAGCCACCTAAAACTTTCGAGAGACCAAAGTTGCCCTAAGAAAAACGGATAAATAATTGGGTTATTGCAGAAAAAATCCACACCGCCACGACGGAAGGCACGGTTTTTTGACCCCCCCATCCACCTGGATTTCCAAAACTGCTTCAGCCCCCCTCCCCTCAGGATTTCCAAGTTCAAAGACCCCCCCATCTGGATTTCCGTAAAATTGTTAGACACCGTGATTTTACTTCACACTCAATGTAGAAGAATCCTTTTAGGCACTTAGTTGAACTTTTTACTAAACAAGTCTCAATTTTCTGTGAATTCTGTGTTTGTTGTGAACGTTAAGATTCCATTTTCATATCTTCCTAAACAGGCTTACACTTTTTGTAAATAAACTCATATTTGAGTGAACTTCTCTTTTTTTCTAGAACAGGCAAAATATACAACAATATATACTACAATAAAGCGCAAAACTAACTATGTTCTCGAATAAATGGTTCTCTTCTTTGTTGATAAAAAACGACTGCGAAAGAAAGAAAAAGGACACTTAACGGCATATTACATGACCCGCTATACCAATTGCCACAACACTTGCCTTTCAAAATGGCCGCCAAATCACGAACAACCACGCTTACAAAATGTACTTGTAAGGCCTGTTTAGTGGTAAATCACCCTGAAATAGCATTAACCTTGGAAGAATTTATAATTCAAGGTAAAATCATTGTTTGCTTTACTTGAACTGAGTGCTTTTTTATAAATTATGCGATTTTTCTTGATATCTTCGATTCAAGTTATCGCACGTCGCTTGTACAAAAGTAACGAGGGCGAGCCTATGGATGGAAACTTAAAGTAAATGTGGTAAGAGGTCTGTAATTTGAAAGAATAATAAAATTTGAAAAGGCAAGGCAATTTTTGGAAAACTTATAAATTGAAGCAATTGAAACATCGATGAAATCGAAAGCCTACCCCCGAGGATGTATTTTTGGGTTCAGAGCCCCCCTCCCATTTGGATTTCCAGAGCCGTTAACCCCCCTCCAGGGAGATTTTCCAGCATGCCTTCCGTCGTGGGGGTGTGGATTTTTTCTGGAATAACCCATTTTTATTTAGGGCAGCTCCAAATTAACCAAACAGGCTTCTACAGGATAGAGAAAATCGTTTGAAACATTCCTGACGTATTTGGAAACATTCGGTCACTGGGTGCCTCGGATAACTGAATAAGCTATACCACTCGCTCTTATCGCCTGTGCCATCACCACGTACCTGCAGTAGAGCAACATTCCGAGGATAAAAACCACGACAACTACAAATACCACTACCACTACCACTGGTACGATGATTTTGATAAGACTTGTACCATCCGTAGATTTTGTTGGAACTAAAACAAACAAACATTATTTAGCAAGTTTTTCTTTACAGTCTCTTTTTATATATATTTAACTGCATTTGCAGTTTGCTCAGAGTCAGTGGAAGAAAGTTTAATTGGCGCATTGAGTGCCTCAGCCAAGCGTTATTCGGGCAGCGTGGCCGAGCGGTTCTCTGAGAGTCGTATTCGGGGGCCCGGAGTTCAAGTCCCGCTCTGACCGCTAGCTGGATTTGTTTCCGTAGTCCCGAGTTCAAATCCTCGGCCACGCTTGTAAAATAGCCAACTGGTTCCTACCAATTGGGATTCTTAACGATGTTATGTTCGATTTAAATTATTTGTTTCATTATCCCTGAAAAGCCCCATAAGGGGAGAGGATAAAAAGATGATTATCTATATTACCTTTATCTTATCTATCTATTCTTAAAAAGGTTGAGTTTGATCTTCCGGGTGAACGTAGTCCTGAATAGGACAGTTGTTGTTGACAGTGACTGACGTTTCGACAACCTGTGTGGTAGTCATCTTCAGAGTCAAAGTGAGTAGTATCACGTCAGTTGATGGTATTATACTCTGGTTACTCTGATTGGTCAATTATGTCGCGATGTTATTGGTCGTCTGTCAGTTAAGCCGTGATGTTATTGGCTATGAAGACTCGTAATCAGTGATTGGTGCGTTTCTATCCGTCTATTGTCACAGTTAAACAGTCGTCTATTCTTAGTCAAATTGTCAGTTCTCCAGCTCACTTTGACTCCAACTCACTTTGACTCTGAAGATGACTCAACTTCAACTTCAACTTCAACTTCAACTTTATTTCATAAGACTATTGATTACAATAGACTGGCCCGCAAAATAGCAATTGCTAATCTAGGCGGACCAGTTAAAAGAAAAATAAATTGAAAGGAAAAGAAAGGAAAGGAAAAGGAAGGAAAAACTTCAATTTTAAGTTACAATAAATAATATTCTATCACAGTTTTATTTTAATTACATTAAATCTGAACAAGCAAACAAACAAATACTGTTGATGTTTCCGTTTTGCGCAGACAGACAGCTCCGTTTTTCGCCCAACAGAATTTGAAGTTATTGGTGTTCTTGTATTTCTTGCTCTCGAAGAGAAGCTCCTGTCGTCGAGGAGTTAGATGATCATACAAGTTAATATGACTGATATCAAAATCGTCAGGGAAGCCTAACTGTGACGCCTCGAGGTTCTTCAATCTCCTTCTCGCAGCCATAACTTTTCCCTTTGCCAGTCTTCGAGTAAATTTGCAAACGACAGCATTCGGCCTGTTCGAGGCATAACGGCTCGGTATCCGATGAGCAATATCTATGTCGTCAAGCGAAACATCTTCAACTCCAAGGGCTTCAAACAGCCTAAGGCAGAGAGCTACAGTTTGATCGGAGCCAGTTTCATTTTGCGTTGTAGCTGGCATACCCACAATTTTAACATTAAACTGGTAAGTGTATGCTTCTAATCAAGATTGTCGATGGATTTAGCAATTCGGTCGCAGAGAATGGAGAGTTCGGCGACTCTAGTAAACAGTTGTTTGATTTACTTCACCGCTTCGTCTTTGAAGGCGACAAGGTCGTCATATTTTACTGGAGACGAATTCAAGTGAATGAGCACACTCTGACGACATTTTCTTCTCGGCGTCCGGCTTCGTCAGCTCCGCTTTCTTTGACGAAAATTCTTCGGAAATTTTCTGGAGTTTTTCTTTCAATTCAGCTATCTCATTTCGTAAAGATTGATATTCCTTCCTCAGCTTTTCATTCCTGGTCATAATTGGCAGAAGAAAGACTCAAATTGTAATCTTAGCTCGGAGAGCTCTTAAACACACGTCCGACCAGTACAAGCACCGCACCAGTCACCGAAACGTCAGTCACTGTCAACAACAACAGTCCTATTCAGGACTACGTTCACCCGGACGATCAAACTCAACCTTTTGAAATGACTCCTGGGTTCAAACCTTTCACAGTTTTATCTATTCTTACTTGGCTCACAGTCATTTGCTGATTCAGCTCCCTTTTTGTCCGTTGTCTCTCCATCGCTGCAAAGTTTGCAGCTACTGTGTCCTTCTTTATCTTGATACGTGCCTTTGGAGCAGGCTGTACAGTTGGAAGATTCTTGGTGGAAGAACGTTCCCACAGGACAGGCAACTATTGAAGAACAAAAGGTAACACGCGTTTTGCTTAAAACTCAGATCTCCAATTGTTTTATGCCACACTGATATAATAATAATAAATCTCTAAATCTCTTTTCCTCGGAAAAAAGGTTTAGATAAAGTTATAAGACCGCCTGTGAACCTTGAGGACTTGGATGTTGACTTTGGCCTTCAACATTTTAAACTGGGAACGAAGGCGATGAAGAAACTAACTCCTAATCTTATCGAAGAGGATTCTAGTCAGTGTTTGAAAATTTTATCGTAGTACACAGTTAAGAAGACGAAAATCGACTAGCAGAGATTCGAGATGTTTTGCCTAAGAGAAAATGAGTAATTTCTTCGACAAATATGATAACAAACATACCTGCACCCGATCATCTTGACAAGCTTCTTTGCCATTTGCAGTGGTTTTTCAAAGACCAACGAAAGAAAGATAGAAGCAAGTTCGAGCCAGACACAATGTTTAGTTTTCAAAAGCCCCCAGCAGAGCATGCGTGGGGTCGGTGTGCGGTGGCACGTTTTGTGAGGAGCGTAGTTTCTGTCCCTTTACGCCAATTTTAGAGAACTTTATACCGCCTTGACATAATAATTCAACGTTTAAACACTTGCGGAAGTATTAAATGCAGAAATTAGGAGGAAAACACAAACGAGGAGCTCGAGGATCAGTGGAAGAAGAAGAACCATCGACACTTAAAAGAGCCAACATGGCGGAATGTCAAGAGGAAGAGGCCGCGGAGTTAGTGGAAGCGACAAATGAAGCAATAAACGCCGAAGGTGAGCCCAGTAATGCAGAACTAAGGGAGATGTTGGTAGACATTCAAATAAATACTGCAACTATCCTACGCGAAAACAAAACAATCAGAAGCGAAATGACCGATCTCAAGCGCACAATTCAACACCAAACAGACGATATAACTGCGTTGAAATCATCTCTAGAACATATAACGAAGCAGTACAACGAGGTAGAACGCGGGCTGGTGGCAGCAAGAAAGAAAATTCAAGAGCAGGAAGAAGAAATTGGTGAATTGTACGATCTTCAAGACAAACTAGAACAATACAAGAGGAAAAACTCAATAGAAATACATGGTGTACCAGAAAGCGCCTACACCGAGACGGAAGACGTGGTGTTAAAATTAGCGGAGGCCCTAGATGTATCGGTGGAACCAAAGGATATCGAAATATGTCACAAGCTGAACAGGAAGGGTAACAAACCAATTATTGTAAAATTTATAAGCCACAAGGTCAAAACAAATCTATACAGGGCTAGGGCTAAGCTAAAAAATGTCAGAGTTTCTAACATCTTCCTGCAGTGCTCGTCATCAACTCTAGTGCAAGCCGACAGAATTTTTTTAAACGAGAATCTTACCTCGTACAGGAAAAAAATAATGAATCGGGCAAACGAGATGCGGAGAAATGATGAATTGTTGAGTGTCTGGTCAATGGATGGATCAATATATGTCAAGACCTCTCCGCAGGGTAAGCCGGTCAGAATTAACGAGCTGGAAGACTTAGATTATCTTTAAATGTCCAATCGTCTGGCCAAGGAAGACAAACACTGTAACTTACATTTGGGACAGGAACAAAAAACGCAAAGTTCGGAGAAGAAGAAGGGAAACGCTCAAAAACTACTTTAATTTACGTTTTGCATAATTTTAGTTTTGTTTGCTTCTGTATTTTTTTTTTTTTTTAAATTTGCATATATATTCTTCTTGTTTTTTTGTTTTTTGTTTTGTTTTTTATTGTAATGCAAGAGAAAGCAAAATACGATATACTTTCTCTAAACGTAAGGGGAATAAGAGATCAAGCCAAACGGAGGAGCATTTTTCTATATCTCAAAGATCATAACTCAAAAATTTATTTCTTGCAAGAAACTTACTCTCAACCAGACGATGAAATTATTTGGAAAAACGAATGGGGAGGTGAAATATTTTTCTCTCACGGATCCAGGCATAGTAAAGGTGTTTGCATTCTTTTACACCCTACGGTACAAAATAAGATCGATTACTCATTCAGTGACAAGGCTGGAAGAATCGTGCTAATTACTTGTGTTCTGAATTCTCTAAAATTATCACTGGTGAATATTTATGCCCCGAATAGCCAAAGTGAACAATTAGATTTCTTACAAAACTTAAACAATTGCCTTATCGACAAGTCAGAAATTTCCACGCTTATTGTAGGAGGCGACTGGAATAGCACACTATCAAAGATAGATAAAATTGGTGGCACAATTTGAAACCAACAAATTATCGAAACCTGATTTTGACAACTATGGACGCTTTCGATCTCGTAGATATTCAAAGATTACGTCACCCGAGGCTACGTAAATACTCTTATGAATCAAAAGTGTTAAAACTGAAATCCAGAATAGACTTTTTCCTAGTTGCCAAAAATCTGACACAACATGTGAAGAAAAGCGAAATTTATCCTTCTATAGCACCGGATCACCGAGCAATTTACATTTCTTTGTCTTGGACAACTGAAAAGTCTAGAGGACCCGGACTTTGGAAATTCAACAACACGTTACTGAAAGATGAACATTATGTGTCCAAAATCCGTGAAACGTACTCCCGCACACGCGCTTTTTACGCCAATTTGGCAGACGCACGCCTTCTTTGGGAAATGTTAAAAATGGAAACCAGAGCGGCAACCATTGCTTATAGTAAAAAGAAAGCTAAAGCGACCACTAATAGAGAATTGGAAATTAGGAGACAGCTCGAAATTCTGGACCGCAATATTTGCGACAACTTTAACTCTCCCAATATCGCGCACATCCTAAATGAATATGAAGATCTCAAAATGGAACTCCAATCTATTTACGAGGAGAAAGGGAGGGCAGCTATTTTTAGATCGAAATGTCGCTGGGTCGAAAAGGGCGAACGTCCAACAAAGTACTTTTTCAATCTGGAGAAAAGAAACTACAACAGGAAAACCATCACTGAACTGCGAACAGAAAGTGAAACAGGAACAAACAACGAGTCTCAGATATTAGAAGCTATCGAAAACTATTATAGTGAATTGTACGCATCAGCAAATAATTCACAGGAAAATAATGTTGATGAATTCACCGAACATTTAAAAATTCCAAAACTATCAGATGCAGACAGAGATAGAATAGAAGGTCCATTATCTTATGAAGAATGCAAAAAGCTTTAGACACTTTTCAAAACAACAAAGCTCCAGGAGAAGATGGTTTCACGGTTGAATTTTATATGTTTTTTTCGATCTGCTAGGACACGATCTTGTTGCTAGTTTCAATGCGGCCTATGATGCAAATGAACTCACCATTTCACAACGAAGAGGCGTTATTACTTTAATTCCCAAAGAAGATGGCTCGCTACTAGAACTTTCAAACTGGAGACCGGTAACACTGCTAAATGTTGATTGCAAGATAGCAACTAAGGCAATAGCAAGGAGAATAGAACCATTATTACCAAATCTAGTGCACACTGATCAAACCGGTTTTATCAAAGGAAGATATATCGGGGAAAATATTAGGCTAATAATCGACATAATGGAACATACGAAGTCAGAAAGCATACCTGGCATTCTAGTATCTCTAGATTTTCGGAAAGCTTTTGATTCTCTAGAATGGTCGTTCATGATGAAAGCACTGGATATATTCAATTTCGGAACAAGTATAAAAAGATGGATCAGTACATTCTATACAAAAATTGAGAGCGCGGCGATAAACAATGGTTTCATGACCAACTGGTTTAGACCGTCAAGAGGAGTGCGACAGGGTGTCCCCTTTCTCCGTACTTATTTGTGCTTTCCACGGAGATATTATCCAGCAAAATCAGACAAGAACCAAGTATAACAGGAATCAAAATATTCGGGCACGAAATCAAATTGAGCCAATTCGCAGACGACACAAACCTTTTCTGTGCAGATTTGATCTCCGTTGAAAATGCTTTGAAAACGGTGGGAGATTTTGGGAGGCTAGCGGGTCTCAAGTTAAACATAAAGAAATCGAAAGCAATTTGGTTGGGAAAATGGGAAAAAAACAAAAGTAATCCTTTACAACTAAAATGGTTACATAGTCCGGTTCGCCTCTTAGGAATTCATGTCTCTTATGATGAGAAGGGTAACAAGACTAACAATGAATTGAACTTTAATCTGAAAATACGAAAACTTCAAACAAAGCTGGATATGTGGAGATCTAGAGACCTCACACTATTTGGGAAGGTACTGATAATTAAGTCCCTAGGATTGTCACAATTAATTTATTCAGCTTCAATTCTTAATGTTCCCGAAGATATCGCAAGCACAGTGAAAACAAAGCTTTTTAGTTTCTTATGGAAAAACAAAAGGGATAAAATTAAACGAACTGGGCTCTATCAGGATCTGGGAAGAGGCGGAATACGTATGGTAGACATCGACATAATGTTTAAAGCTCTAAAACTAGCCTGGATTCCAAGATTACTGACTCCAGGGAACCAGAATTGGAAAACAGTTCCTGATTATTACCTAAGAAAATTCGGAGGTTTGAACTTTTTACTGAGATGTAACTACGATGCGAAATACATAAAATCTATTCCATTGTTTTACCGAAATATTCTAGTATACTTCAGTGAAGTAAAAACTCTGTACAGCTTTGATCAAGCACAAAATATAATTCTATTCAACAACAAAGAAATACTTGTTGACAGTAAAACCTTTTTTATCAGGGAATGGTTTAAAAAAGGTATCCTGTCAATACAAGATCTCTTACACAATACCGGTCAACCAATGACCTATCAGGAATTTACGAATAAGTATTCCTGTAAAACTAACTTCCTTCAATACTATCAAGTTATTAGCGCTATCCCAAAGCACCTATTAGCCAAAGCAAAATCAACGAAGCCAATTAATAAAGAGTTATATTCTGATAATAATCTTAGTCTACAATTAAATGAATCGATAACTCTATATCTGAACAAAATCAAGACTAGCGACTTCTATACGTTATTATGCACAAAAATCCACACAACAGGTCATTCTGGGCCACAGAGATGGAGCAAAGATCTTTCCTTGGATGAAGATAAATGGGAAAAAATATTCACCTCCCTAAAAACCGTCTGTAGAGACCAAATTAAAGGAATTTCAATATAAATTAATCCACCGAATTGTAGTCACCAAAAAGGAACTTTACCGCTATGGAATCAAGGAAGATGATGAATGTATATATTGTGGTGAAAAAGACTCTATTAATCATACTTTTAGAGATTGTCATTTCGTCAAGATTTTCATTCAACGGGTTATCAACTGGTTCAATATAGAAAACAAGATCAATTTCAACCCATCTAGCGAAGAAAGACTGTTCGGCATCCTCTCGGACTTACATGAAAAGGTACTAGTAAGGAAATTCAATTATACCATGTTGTTTATGAGATACTACATCTACGCCAACAAACTACACAACAAACCAATTCTCCTCCAAGACTTCGTTGGTAAAATGATAATTAAATACAGAATTGAAAAGCTATAAAATAGACATGAAAAATAACTCCTCTGACCTTTTTTTTTTTTTTTTTTTGTTTTTTGTTTTTTTTTTTGTTTATGTGGGTGTGTGTGTGCGTGTGATGTACTAGAATTGTAAGTAGTGTAACCATTGTAATTATTAGTAGTACGAGCATCGTATGGATGGTATTGTCAGTATAGCTAATATTGTAAATAGTGCAAGTATAGTGAATATTGTTAGTAGTATTTAGTTTCAGTAGTGTTTAGTACTGTAAACATTTAATATATGTCTGTAAGGCAAAAAAAAAATAAAAAAAAAAATAAAAAAAAGCCCCCAGCGTCACATTAACGAGTGAATACTTACAGTGCTCTTAGTTTTGACCCAAGGTAGTAAAGTAAACTTTAAAATATGTCTGTAAACCCTGAGGACTGGGATGTTGACTTTGCCTTTCCAAATTTTAACCTAGCTTTGTTTTAATAAGAACGAGGCTGATGTAGAAACTGACTTGTAACCTTACCGAGGAAGAGAATTCTAGTCAATGTTTGAAAATTTTAACGCAGATCACAGTTGAAGACGAGAATGAACTGGCAGAAAGAGAGGTTTTCCCAAAACAATTAACGACCGAGTCCTTCGACAATGACAACAAACTTACCTTGAAAAGCTTCTTTGCCTTTTGCAGTGTTTTTTTTTTTACAAGAACAAACGGAGGAAAGATGGAAACGACTTCTAGACAGACACAGTGTCTGGTTTCCAAAATACTCTATCGTTACATTAAAGAGCTAAAACTTACAGTGCTCTTAGTTTTGACCGAATAAACTTTTTCAACATGGCGAATTTGTTTTTACTTTCTTGGAAAGTCTTTGTTATGTGCTATTGTTTTCGTGCGCCAATAAAAACTTTCTTTTTTGACGCCTGTCAAATGACTGTCAAATCGTGCGGCCTGCACTTGTTTCCGGCCCCCAAACAGGAAGAAGCCATATAATAAACATCTTATTAGCCTCGTTTCTTCGGTCGGTACTGTAAATTATGGATCCTCGTTTTTTAAAAAAACTCATTTACAGTACGGACCGAAAACTCAGCCAATAAGAGGTATATATTTATATAGCGCAAATTAACATACAGGAGGATATGATCAAATGCGCTTGAGATATTTAAAGTGAATCCAAAATTACTATGTTTATTTACAATTTTGAATTTACAATAAAAAGAGAAAGTATCATATGAAACACTGAAAAGAAATTATATCAGCCTGTGTCGCAGACGTACTCTAACCCCGCCTAGTGACGTCTGCGAAGCAGTGCCGTCATCTCGTGCTGGGCCCCCGGCAACGGAATCAACGAATTACTAGAAGTACGTTCCGAATTTCCTTTTATCCTGATTGGCAAATTGCCAATGCCTTTGCTAACAGGCCAATCATGCGCGTATTCAAATCCTGGTGCACAGGTAGGGGACCAGAACAAGGATTTCGGGGCTGTTTTGCAGACGGACTTAACCAGAGTTTAGTTTCGTGTGTTGCGCAGTCGCTATACTGATACTAATATATGCTGGCGTTTATTATTTGCTGCTTACCACATCCGGTCTTGTCACTGCTCTCAACAAATCCTGAATTACATGTGATCTCAGACGAGAGATGTTTAAAAGAAGACCTGTCTGCGGTGCGGTTAACACCTTGTAAACTGATCATAAACTGTCCAGTGGAGATGGCGTATTGCATCTGAAATAGAACAGCTTCACTTTTCTCGTCAACATCATCCATCATCGAAGCTGAGTCGACCGCTTTGAGTAACAATGAAAACAATACTTCCATTTCATCCACGATTGCTCTTTTTGTCATTTCATGAGCTGTCCAACCACATCCGGGAACTGAGATTCTAGTCAGCTTGCAGGCGTCAGAGTCGAGACACCCTGGTATTGTTGAAAGAGTGTTGGCCAGTTCTTGCTTCAAAGCTGAATGAAATTCACTAAGACCTAGACTGATCTGACACCCAATTCCAGTAAACTTCATTGAAAGGTGATGTTCGATCATCTTTGGCTTAGCCTTGCCTGATAAGAAAAATCATTTTTTAAAATGATTTGTTAAGTTGGAAAATACTATTGTTGACAAAGAAGTTAGGTTTATCACTGCCTGAAAGCTGTTATTACACCTCGGAGCCCTGTGCATTGTTACAGGGCAACGAGATTTCATTCACAGATATTCGTCAATTTCGTGGAGAAATATTACCACAGGGAATTGCATCTTACAGTGCGACTACAATAGGCGGGACCACCTAGACAAAGTTGACCAATCAGATTACAGGAGAATAACAATACATTCGGAGAAAGATAGTTGTCAATCATAATTACCACGAAACGAAGTAAACAACATAGATAGAAATCAACCAATTACAACCTACAGACGTAATCTTTTGAACCCGCTGAAGAATGCCCGTTTTTCCTGCGAGATCCTTTAGAGTGATGACGGAGGCAAAAAACGTAAACGTTAGTTACATTTTTGACTTGAGGTCGTGATGTTGTTGCAAAGCCCGGCAATGGTAGCGAAGAAATTGCCGGTAGATGACAAAATAACAGCTTGTGTCGAACATATATGTCTCCTGGGTGTTTTACTTTCTTGAAAAACGTTTGCTATCAATATTTAAATTTTGTGCTTCGAGTAACTTATTGTTTTTTTACGAACAGTTGATTGGCCCACAACCAACTTTCTCGGGATGTATTGTTATTTTGCTGTAATCCGTTTTGTCAACTTTTAATACTAAAGGAAGGAGCTTCATTGCTACCAATAATTTTCGCACCTTCTGGACGAATGATAGGACGTCAACGAGGTACACGTACTTCTCCTGTAGAGAGCTTTGTCTCGCTATTGACTTTCTTATCGACGTTCGTTTCGGAAGCTCTGTTTTCCGGCAGGTTATTGGTATACCAATGGGCACCAACAGTGCACCTTTATTGGCTGATCTCTTCCTTCATACCTTCGAGTACGATTTCATGGTCAAAACAATGAAACAGGATATTACAAAAGCCATCTAATTCAGCAACACCTTTCGGTACATCGTCGATTTATTCAGTGTTAACAATGTGGACTTTGGAAATTACATCAGCGCAATTTACCCATCGTTATTGGAACTTAAGGACACTTCCACATCATTTACTGAAGTGTGTTATCTCGACACTAATACCAAGACTGGCCACAACACACCCTTTCGTATCAGCATCTACGATAAGAGAGAGGACTTTGCATTTCGGATTGTCAGCTTTCCTCATATGGACAGCAACATTCCCGCCAATTCAGCTTACGGTGTTTATATATCTCAACTGGTGAGATATGCTAGAATTTGCACGTCCAAAGTTGACTTTATAAATAGACTCCGTGGACTTTCATTTCGTCTCAGACAGCAAGACTTTGAAACCAACCTACTTCAGAAATCATTTAATAAATTCTTCAGTCGCCATGGTCTTATCGTCGAGAAGTATGGTGCAGCCCTGCGGGAGATGAGATTAGCAATTCAGGCTTGAATTGCACCATCGTATCCTTACATTACTTATTTATTGCTTAGTGTTGTATTTCAGTTGTATCTCGGTACGTGTGCGCGTACAATTTTATTTTGAGCACGCGCATTATTTGTTTATTTATTTTATTGCCGTGTACATTTGGTTCGTTTATTAACGTCTTAATTTTACTTAGCGTTATTTTCCTCACTTATATGTGTTGTCCGTGACTGTGCTCACATGGTGGGTGGCTCCTTCTAAAATGTTCTGCAACTGGTATAGGATTTAATGGAGCCGAAACCAATTGTGGAATTGCAAGCATTTTAGGTGAACAGTTGCGACACCTAGATATATATTTTTTAGCCAGTAATATAATTTGCCGTCTGTCTAGTTTGAATTGTGTAAGTTGCCCTGGTCATAGTAATCGCACTGTAAAATTACCAGGGTCACAGTGTAAATATTTTACTCAAGGATTGGCCGACTATTTTCTGGTAAAGCTGCATCAGAAAGGTACTGTTACTCCTCGTTCCTCTTAGCTGTAATAAGACTCCTTAATGCCAGAAAAACAGCCTCGTTTGTACATGGTCACAACACGTAGGTTTCCTCTTGAAGGAGTTTCTGTGCCAAAACATATCACTTCCATATAAGGAGACAAGATCAACTGACACAAATATACATACTTGTGCAGGTTGGAACGTCAATGTCCACCTTTCCATTCCATTTCCAGTCAGTGTCAGGACCACAGCCGAATGTTATTGTTGCCTCAGATCTGAATGAGTAATCGTCGTTGCATGTTATAGTACAGAGCTCTTTCCCGGAACGTTTTTTGCATGATATCTTGCCATTTCTAGGCTGTTGAAGGCTTGGGCATTCTGTGGAGGCGATAAGAAGTAAACAAACACATTCCTCTAGAGAAGCTTAAATACTACTTATCTTGCAGCAAACGCCGGCAGTTAGTGAGAATAGCATTTTTCTTTATACTACAAACATGTCTTAAAAAAGCCCTTCATTTTGGCTACTGGGAAACGGTGGTCAGTAAGTCTACCAGCCCATCTTTGGAACTCTGAAAGATAATGATAATGTGCCTTTAAGTTCTCTTTTCTTTTTTCACTGACCTCTTTCTTCATTGACCTTCTTTTCACAGTTTGTTCCCCAGTAGCCTTTGTTGCACATGCACTCATACTTATTTACAGCATCTATACACTTTCCATTGACACAAGGACTGGACTTGCATTCATTTATGTTAATGTTGCAATGTGGTCCAGAGAATCCAGGGACGCAGTTGCAGTGGTACATTCCGTGGCGAGACTCGCAGTTCAGGAAGTGAGAACAGTTGGTGGTGCACATGGCCAAGGCTGAAAGTTTCAAAATATTAAGATTAATGGCTAAAATGAAGGTGTGGGTAAAAATAACTGTCCACTAAATTCTACCGCACGGTCAAGCGAAAAACGAGTCAAAAATTCATTGCACTGGACACTTAAATATCTTTCCGCCTCAAAACGGTGAAACGGTGAAAGGTCTGAGCCCAGGAGTCATAAAACGGTTTTGTTATAATCTCGCGCTCTCATTGGTTACTTCGAGGTCACATGACATCTAACATTGAAACTTGAATCTCAATGTTTCCCTTGGCTCCGCCTCGGGAAACACTGAATTGTAGGAAAACAAAATTATTTATTTCCCTTGCAGGGACCAGTCATTAAGTGTTTATTGTTGTGTAACCCTAGTTTCCCTCCCGGACCGTGGATTCCGCTAATCTTATTCACTCGCAGCTGGCATTGACGTTTGCAGCGCTTTCTGATCCTAACTCTGATTACCTTGACATTGCGTCTTGAATCGCTTTTGCACTTTGCCTTCAATTCCTTGAAGAAAACTGCTCCACGCTCGCACACTTCCAGCAACGGGCCAAGTACAGTTGTGTGCTGCATTCCACATGTGATCAGCAGTGGCAGGCACATCCCAAAAACTGACTTGATGTAATGTACCAACAAAAGCATTCGATAACGAGGACGCTTGTTTTTCAGCGAGGAACTCCTGGCCAAGAACCATCCATCCCCCTCCAGTGATGGTGCCACCTGGAATTTTACAGTAAAATTGAACTCGTGATTTTGATCGTTGATTTCAGTGTTATCATGGACAATTCGCAGTACAGTTCAGGCTATCGATTTAGCGATCAGCTCTTAAAACGTTCAGAATACTATTATTATATCTGATTGATCTTTTGTGGTTAAGTTTGGCTGGAATAGATTGATAAAGTGATAAGATTTCAAAGGATTCAATAAAATCTCACCTTTGAGAATGTTCCTGGCCCTTTTTATTTCAGGGCCGTTAATGTACACGGAAACATCTCCTGTCGTTCCGTTCCAAACTACCCCCACGTAGTTCCAACGATTGTCTGGTAATTTGAAATCAGCTGCCACAACTTCAGTTTTAATCGTCAGCTTAACCTGTGACTCAGTGAATGAGAGAATTATCACGTCTTGTGGTACACCAGGCACACTGTAGCTGAAGAGCGTTCCTGAGTTGTACTCGGAGTCTGCTCGGACAAACAGGGCGATGGTAAAAAACCTCATTGTAGGGATGCTTTCACCGTCTGATAATAGAACCATGTCGCTTGCAGTACTGCGCTTGAAAATCAAATCAAAATTGCTGCCAAGGACTGAAAAAGGAATGTAAGAGGTTTAGTTTATATTAAGTAATTTCTTTGAAGTGTCGCTTTTATTCATTCTGTAAACGTAACACAACGATTTATAGCTTGGAATGGATCTTCTCGATGACAACAGGATCAACGAACATTTTGATGCGATTCATCGAAGTGGAGTTATCGCAGGTCTTAACCATCTTTGAATTTAAAATATTCTGTAAATTTAAAAGTATTGATCAGCTGGCCTTTTTATCACCGCAAAATTAAAGAGATAGCGGTGCATAAATGTTAAGCGGTAACAGTTTCACTACTGTTAATAGGCATAATTTTGATTGTCATTACTATAATCAACATACGGCTCACATCAACTTGGTCTGTATGACGTTGTATTACATAAGTCATTTCAATCCCTCGATTAAGTTGAGGAATAGACCATTTCCGAGTTCCAAACAATCTCACTTTTAAAAGAGCTGAAAGAGAGAGTTGAGACTAAGTGCAAAACATTTTTTGTAAAAGTGAGTTTTATTTGCTGGTAATGAAAATTCATTTTCGTATCGATAGCTTCGCAAGCATCGCTTTAAAACAGAGGCTTGGGTCAACTCGGAAATGGTCCATGAGGACATCGTTACTTACATATGTCACAGTGATCTCCTGTGTGAGATGGGTAACACCTGCATTCATATTCGTTTACCAAATCAACGCAAAAGGAGTTGGCCATGCAGGGCTCCGATGCACAATCATCAATGTTCACATCACAGGTGCTTCCTGTAAAACCTGTTTTACATAAACAAAAGACGGTTCCCGTGGCGTTGTCAGAGTGACACGTTCCGCCGTTCTGACATGGTGACGATAAGCAGGGGTCAGTAAAGTTCTCGCAGTTTACTCCTGCAAACTGGTCCGGGCAAATGCATATGTACCCAGGCCTCTCAACTACGCATGTCCCATTGTTTTGACACGGAGAGGAGTCACATTTGTTGATCTCTGCTTCACAAAATGTTCCATTGTAATCTTCAGCACAGAGGCAAGAGTAACCCAGTGTGTGGTCAACACACCTGGCGTTATTTTGACAAGAGTTATTGACACAATCGTCAATGTTCTGCTCACAGTACCTCCCCGTGAACCCGGCGGAGCAAGAACAAGTGAAATTGTTGATGGTATCATGACATGTTGCATTGTTGAAACAAGGTTTCGCTGAACATTCATCAGTTTCAAACTCGCAGTACTCGCCGAAGTAACCACCGTTGCATTTGCAGTTAAAGCCTGTATGTAAGAAAGGGAAAAAACACCTTAAGTGTGTTACTGTTTATGACGATCAAATCTTATGCCTTAAATGAATGGGAGACGATCCCGGCGATGGGCCCTTTGCAGCTTAACGCTCGCGTGAGACAAAAACGCCTTGCCAGAGAGTTTGGGAGACAATGGGGCAAGAAAAAACACGATTACATCATTTAAAATGCGACTTTCCTTTTTTTCAAGTGGATACCACTGCCCGTTTATCTCTCGTGCAAGGTGTTTTGCACCATGTGACTGTTAAGATGCCAAGTGCCAATTGGAGCGATCGAGCTTCTAAGGGCCCATTGGGGTGATCGAAATAGTCTGAATAGAACTACGCGTACGTCTGTATATAGACTGGAATCGAAGCGGCAAGACGATATGAAAGATTGCATAGAATCCAGGCTTTACTATGACTTTACCTGTGAATAGATTAACACAAACTCCATTCTGAGTGCAGTTTGCCTCCCCACAGTAATCAATGCGACCCTCGCAATGGAGCCCAGTAAAACCACTTGGACAGGAACATGTGTAGTTAGCTATCAGGTCTACGCAAGTAGCGTTGTTTAAACATGGCAATGATTTGCAGTCATCATTGTTTATTTCGCAATGGTGTCCAGCAAAGCCCACCTGGCAGGTGCATTCAAACGCGTTCACCTGGGAATAAATAAAGGAATCTATAAGAAAAAGACGTCTTCATACCGTTGCTATGAATTATACTCGTCAAACCGGACTACGTTTGACATCTGTGCATTCTGTCCTTTTAACTATACATTAGTTTTATTTACATGATTGTCATATCAATACCATCTCTGAAAATGGGACTGCTGGTATATTTGGTGGCGGTGGTGGTGTTGTACTAAGCAAAACCCGACAAGAGATTCAGTTTTCTTGCCGTTATACTTAGAGGCTCTGTTCTGCATTACAACAAAATCTATAGCTTAGGGGTTCTTGTTAATAGAAACCGCTTGCTAGTAAGTGTGTCTCCAACCCCCGAAAGAGAGGTTTCTTAATAAGACAATGTCAGATCTATAAAGAGACACTTTAAATTCTTGCCATCCATCAAACTTTCATAATCAGAAGTCAGAGAGAAGTCCTAAAAACATTTCATTTTGGTCTTCAGTCATTTGAAAACTACTTATCCTCTGGCCGTATCACACAATAGTTAAACGTTTTTGGGGCGTGTGCTTTAACGTCTGCAAGTTAATGATGCGGGATAAGCGTTTATAAACACTTAACAGTGTGTTGTAGAGGGCATTTATTCGAAGAACTACTGGCATTGCAAGGTACCTGATCGTTACAAGTTCCACCATTATTACAAGGAAAGGACTCGCACTCGTCTACTTCAGATTCACAGAACCTTCCCCAGAACCCAGGAGGACAGTCACAAGTGTAGCTGTTAACCCCATCCCTGCAGGTGGAACCGTTAGCGCAACCGTGACCCAAACAGTCATCAATATTCCTTTCGCAGTGTGTTCCACTAAAGCCATCAACGCAACTACAAGTGTAGCCGTCAACTTTATCATTGCATGTTCCATTGTTCTGACAAGGAGAACTGAAACATTCGTTAATGTCGACGCTGCAGTTCTTCCCTGTGTAACCTCTCCTACAGGTACATTTAAAGTCATTTATCAAGTCCTTACAAGTCCCATCGTTTAAGCACGGATTATGCTCGCAGTCATCAATATTTAATTCACAGCTGAATCCGGTAAATCCCGCTTGGCAGGCACATGTGTATTGATCAATGCCATCGACACATGTTCCGCCATTGAAACATGTTGCATTCTCGCATTCGTCGATGTTGTACTGACATTGGTCTCCATTGAATCCATCAGGACACTGACAAGTAAAGGAAGTGCGTCCATCAAAGCAGGAGGCATTATTCAGGCACGGCGTTGATGAGCAATAGTCGATGTCTAAACTACAGGTATTTCCTGTGAAACCTGGTGGGCAAGCGCAGGTGAAATTATTGATGCCGTCGTGACATGTACCATTGTTTGAACAAGGATTCGAGGCGCATTCATCAATGTTGTTTTCACAGTGGAGGCCATCGAAACCATCTTTGCATTCACACCGATAAGTGTTAATCATATCCCCACACCTAACGATATAAAAGTAACAGCGCTTTAGCTATATAGTTTGGTAGCGTTCTTTGAAAATTTGCGTTTTTTCTTCTCTTCTCTACTTTCTTTCTTTACTCAATTTACCAGTTAAATTGGGGCCTCTGATTAGGATTTACTTAAAATCCGTTGAAGACAGTTAAATCAGATGTAGTACTGAGGTAAGATATACTTCTCTTCGGAGCTCTTGGAACACTGGAAGCAAGAATTTTTTTTGTTCTTCCTTAAAAACTGACATATGGTAGATTGGCTGATAACGACACCTTTGAATAATGCAGAATGTCCTGGGAAAGTTAGTTGGAAGCAATTTCAATAACAAAATTTAACTTTAAAAGTAAATCCATACAAACCTAGCCTGGTTCTTGCAAGGATTGAAAGCGCATTCGTCAATGTTCACCTCGCATTTATTTCCTGTGAATCCGTTCCGGCATGCGCAATAAAACCCATTGATTTGGTCAATACAGGTTGCATTGTTCTTACAGTCTACATTGACACATTCATCAATGTTGTGCTCACAATTGGTTCCATTAAATCCTGCAGGGCAGATGCAGTGGTATGTTCCAACTCCATCCACACATTTGCCTTCGTTCTGACAAGGGTCCGATGCACAGTCATCGATATTCTCTTCGCAATCGTTTCCTTGGTAGCCTGCGATATAACACACGTTGTTAATATTACACTACGTCGTTATATTAGATTACTCACTTTGTCTTACCTGTTGCACAGAGGCAGGTGTAGTTGTTTATTCCATCCCTACAAGTTGCTCCATTTAGACACGGTGATAACTCGCATTCGTCTACGTCTGTTTCGCACAACTTTCCGGTGAACCCCGATCGGCATTGACAGTTGTATCCTCCTGGATAATTGCTGCACGAAGCATTATTGGAACAAGGGGATGTCGTGCACTCATCAACATCATCTTCACAATTAGATCCCTGGTATCCCTGTCTGCATGTGCAGGTGTAATTGTTAACCAGGTCATGGCAGGTGCCGTTATTAAAACAAGGTTGGTCCTGACAGTCGTCAATGTTGGTTTCACATTGTTTACCAGTAAAACCAGGTTGGCAGGAGCACAGAAAGTCAGCAATGAGGTCTGTACAGTTAGAGTTGCCGTGACAGGGATTTGAATCGCATTCGTCAATTTCTGAAGATTGAAAAGGAGAGATAAAATAAGTATTTTTGCCCATGCAAGGGAATCTAAGACAGTCGTGGATTCTGGACTCCACGACATGGATTTCAGATTCCAGGTATTGAATTCCGGATTCTTTGTGAGTGGAACTTGGATTCCGGATTCCAATCGTTAGTGGAATACCGAATTCCTTGAATTGTAGTCTGGATTCCAAAGCCCAGGATTCCGGATTCCACAGGCAAAAATTTCTCGGATTTACGAATCCGGATTCCCTACCATGGGGCGACAAACTATTCTTCTTACATTACATTACCAGCTGACAGTCTTCTGCAGAAGTAAGAGAGGATATCCAGCATAGTGGCCCTTCAATGGCGGAGCAACTGAGTTGATGTCCAAAGGTGTTCCGTGCCACTTACCTATGCAATCTTGTGGACTCTTTGACCCTGGCAGGACGGTCGCAGTTGTTCCTGGGCATGGGACGCAGATGCGGCTCTCGTTGTGGGGCTGAAAGGAGCGCCGGTTGCACAAAGTACATGGAGCCAGGCCAGTTGGAGAGAAAGAACCAGAAGGACAGGGGACTGGAGGAAAGAACAACAAAAAATACAAGTAAGACAATCTCTTATGTAGTACTTGTGGTGAATCTATTTGTCCATATTGATAATAATTTAATTTAACTTTTCTAATAAATAGCTGATAATTCCTTGTCTACAGTATGTCAACAAGTAGTAGATAAAATATGAGCAGGAGATCTGTGTTGGGCGTTTACGGCGAGCCATTGTTAACGCCCCTGCACGCTAGCTTACCCTGCTCTGTGGTCTGGCCCAGTCAATAAATAGTCTGGCGGTCTGGTCCCGGTTGTTCAAAAGTTGGATAGCGCTACGTTTACCCACCAGATAAATCGCTATCCAATGAATAAGTATTGCGAAGAATAATTGGTTATCCACTGGATAGTAATTTTTCCAATTGATATCACTATCCACCTTTTGAACAACTGGGGCTTGGAAAATAGGTTTTCTTGAAAATCGATTGGGATAGTCTAATCCTATGCTACATCAGACACCTATCTCTAGGCTCAAAGATAATGTATTTTAATGAATACTTTAATCTATGAATGCACTTCTGTACATTTAAAAGTTTTGTCTGTGCGTTTTATTTGTTCATAAAATGCAAACTGTCATTATTACCTGCACATTGCATAGAACTGTTTGATCCCTCCTCTGGGGTTGTTGTGTTAACACCGCATCTTACGCAGAGACGCTTTCCCTCTGTTTCCTGGTAAAGCCCTTTTTCACACTGAATACAAGGCTCTAATCCGGTGGGTGAATATGACCCAGGTTTACACAGCGCTATTTTGTGTAGGAGAAATGAAAAGATGTTATTTTTTCTTGTACGTTATCTAGTGTCTTGAATAGCCTGTTGGAGATATATCAATGTTGATGAGTGTTAAGCCTTAACTAGGTATAGCAATATAGTCATATATTATTAACTGTACCTTGAGTATATAGCTAGGTGACGTGGGAAAAATAGCTGTGGAAAACAGAATTGAACATAATAGAATACGTACGAGCTTAACAAGCTACCTTTAGACATCCAAAGCACGAATCAGTCACTATCTAGTTTTAAGAAAAGGATTTTAGATATTTACAGTCGCAATACTCTATCTTATGTCCTCCTAGCCAGTGAGGTATAGGGTGATATTTATGTAGTCTGTTTGTGGAGAAGGGGCAAACAATGATTAAGGTAGGGGGCGGGGGTTCTTGTATTTATGTTTTTATTATTATTATTATTATTATTCCCTAATTCATTTACTTCTTAGGGCAAGATATCAACAGGGACAAAATCCTGTTTCCTGCTCCAGTTGCAATATTTTTTTATTTTAATTTCCTTTTTTTTTCTTTGTCTAACGTATTTTAGATTTTAATGTAGGTATTACCTGATTATATGTAACAAATTCAATAAAGTAAAGTTAAGTATTAGTACTACAACAGGCTGCTTTTACCTGTACAATTAGATCGATCTTCAGATCTTGTTTCTTCCGTTGAAGTTCTCGGTGGACATGTTACGCATGTTTCTTGTGACTCTTCTTCTTGATATGATCCAACAGGGCAGTCTTCACATGTACCAAGGGTTTTGTTTAGGTATGTTCCTGGTGAACAGCTTACTGAGCAATGCAAAATATATCATTGTGAGAAATGAAAGAAGAATATATGTACTAATATTGGTGGCGATGCTGCTGCTGCTGTTGTTGTTGCTGGTGCTGATGATAATGGTGATTATGATAATCATAGTGGTGGTGGTGGTGGTGATTATGATGATGGCGATAATGGTAATAAAGATAATGCTGCTTGAGTGTTAGGTGAAATTAAATGAATTATATTTGGCTTGCTGGAGGTGGTTTTCACGAAAGATTTTGCAAGGGCCACCTAAAGCCACTTGAGAGCAACTCCTCTACTTTTCTCAGTTTTCCCGTTTTTCACGTTTTCAGTTGTATTTCGATGAAGTGTTTTTCTTTGTGTGCAATTTGCTTAGAACAGCATTAGACCTTTACTTTTAATGAAATAATGACTGCAAAATGCAGAGACAATATCATAAACAGAAGTCCATGTCAAAGCTCCTTAATTTCCACTACTTTACGTGCATGTTTGTGATAAAAATATATAAATTACCACAGACTCTATCTCTAAGGGATTGTCCTTTTGCACAAAGTACCACAGGCTCTGTGAAGTTCAGCGACTGCTCATCAGGAACAAACACCGTGCCGTTTATGGTCAGATTGAGGACACCACTCTCAACTGCTTTTCTGATCTCACTGCTTAAGTTTTTGGCAATCTCCACTCCTGCCAAACCTGCCTCGATCTTGCTTTGTTTGTCGTCATCTACTACGGTACTAATGCCAAGGATTACTGCGAAAGGTGAATTGTTACATGACAAGCTAGTGGCAAAAGCTCGTTGTAAGAAACAAAGGGCCTACACGAGAGCAATAATTTCATCCCAAAAGAACGACCGAGGTCCTTCAAAAGATTTACCCGTCTTAAGTATTGGAGTTAAATTTTTTAAAAAATAAATCTTCGCGGATCTTTTTGCAAAATTGCACTAGCTCCTGCCTGTGTGCGAAACAATTAAGGGAAATTGTTGTAATCTTTATCACTGGAATCTTCCTTTCAGCTGATGGCCAACTTCATCCATGAGATGTTAAACGATCTTTTCTTTTCTTCGAGAATAGCAGTAAATGTAGCCCCGGAAGTAGGTGTGGGTTTTGAATTTGAGTGTATAACTTATTGCACAAATACCATCCGAGACTTAGATCAAATGAATTTGTAAAACTTGTTACGTCCTGTTTATCCATCGAAACATAGTCTCATGTTCGTTTCCATGTGATTTTAATCACTACTGTGGCAAGAATTACTCACGTACATTTAATGAATGTAGAAAGGCGTGTATAAAAAAAAGCCTCAAGTAGCGGACTTTCTGTTGTATTTTCTAAATGGTTTGAGTTTCCCGGAGATTTTCATTACCTTTTGAGATTACATATTAGAACCCTCATGACTGGTTGTAAGACACAATAACCCAATACGAAGTCCTGAAACTAGGCCGGGGGGTATCAAAACATTAAACGTCTGTGAAGGACGTTTTTGGGTGTGACCTCGGCTGTACCGAACTTACCAACAATATCAAGATGGACTTTTGTCAGAATGCGATCACCACCACCATCTGAAGAATAAAAAACACCCCCAAATAAACACATATACTTTGTAAACATCGCTTTGAGAAGGTCTTTCAATAGTTCACATATTTTGCATAAAGTCAGAGCTATATTTAATCGATTGTCGGCTGTCACTATACCCAAATTATTTCCCGAAGGATCGAGACTCTGGACCTGGAGGACCAGAGAGTCGTATTTCTTGAACTATATTTCTGAGGTCCATAAGGTCTTTATCGTTGAGCGACAGATGCTATTACTCAAAGCATCGCCAGGTAAAAGTTTTTCACTGAGTAAAAAACAACCCTCTTCTGGAAAAAATAGCCCTAAAAATCTCCCCAATTACATTATGACTGATTGTCTTCGATCTCGCGTCATTCGTCCTTTCAAGAACAACAGTCAACTTAGTTAATTTCACCGCAAGAACGAGTCCATTGGTTTTTGCCCCAGCTAGTGGCTGGAAGTACCGCTATGATACTCAACCAATATCACACCAACCTGATGAACGTCTTTTCCGTCTTGCCCTCGTCACCTCATCGCATGTTACCACTACGTTCTCAGCCGTGCAGCTATCTCTGAACACAGGGTCGCGGCACATCACTTGAAACAGGGACCCGTTTAAAATCCGAATGAAGTTCTGTCTTATTTGTGCTTGGGCTTCCGGTGTACTGCAATCTCCGTCGAAATAGTACAAATCCATCGCCATTCTAGCTTCACCTGCTTGATATACCTCTGCAGTGATTTATTGCAAATATATTAATAAACACTTAATGACTGCTCCCGAGGGAAACGGTTAATTTTGTTTCCCGAGAATCTCAATGTTTCCGGAAACATTGAGATTCGACACAGCCCTTGTTAGCGATACGATGTTCTACGTCGGAGTCGTGGTTTCACTTACGTTAGCTGAGGGTTGATACGGCGGGTCAGCCATTCAATCGTCTCCGTGAAAGAAACTTGCACATTTACTTGGAGTACATGAAATAATTATCAATTATTGGTTGTGGCTGAGTAGGATCTGAAGAATTATAGAGTTCGAGGAGGATATTATCGGCCAAGGTGGATAACAGCCCCCTACTTAGTTATGGTCGGATAACACCCTCTTTAGTAATACGCTGGTCTATGTTAATTATGGTTTAATTTCATCCTTGCTTTACATTTTATTGCCTTTAGTTTTTAGGAAGGGAAATAAACGATAATGGGTTTGAAACAAATTTCACCCCAACATGTATACTAGTTATAAAACTTGAGCAACTTACTTGAGCAATCTGGCCACCGGGTTGATGGAGACCATGTCCCTGATGCTCCACATACCCACACTACATATGGAGGCAGTTCTTGAGCAAAATCCCATTTGCTGTTACAAGAGGGAGCACATTGTCTTCCGGCTGCCCAATCATCGCATGCCTTTGCCCCATTCTTAGGAGGCGGCAGGTCAATGCAGTCTTTCGCTGTATGAAGGCAGATTATAAAAAAATTATGACAGATCGATGTTAAATCAACCGTGTTCCTCTCTTTAAATTTAAACTTATTCTACTTATAACCCTGAAGATTAAGTTGATCTACGCATCCATAATTCCAGAGCTGGTGAAAACGTACGATTATTCTGTTTTCAGCTAATTGTGGCTGCATGTGTGATTTTGAGATTGCGAGTTTGCAGATTGGCAGACCAGCATGATGATCTACAGGCGTATGTCTCATTTCAAAGACAAATTAACGGAGGGCTGCTGTATGCATGATGCCAAGGATTTCAAATTATTTCATGCTACCCAAATCACTTGTAAAACTAGCATAGTCTTGTGACTGTGAATTACCTTATGAGATGAACGTTGATGCCATGAAAATTGATTAGTAAGCAATTGGGGTGCTGTGAAAGTGCGTGAAAGTGTTCCGAAATTGGGTAATAAGTTTAGATTTTAAGTGTCTGGGATTCTGTCATAATGTGAGGTTTTGTGCTATCTGGTACCTGTACCTGGAATTTCGTGTGTCTTCTCTTTGTCATTCGTCTCTTGAGAACAGCTGTTCAGGTATGAAACAGGGTACGGAAAGTCACGCACTTTATAGCGTGGTTGTCAAGAGGCATGCCGCACACCTCCAACCTAATTTCCCGGGGGTATCCCCTGGCCCTGGGTGACAACGTCACTAACTACCTACTTACGTTTTAACGTGATGGTAAACTGGCAGACGGCAGGATTATTATTTTGGTTCTTATCAAATGCCGTGCAATGCACGTTCCAGGTTCCCCAGTAAAACTGTGCCCCACTTTGATGGCTGCATCTAATGACCAAAGGACTGTTACTATTGTCTTTGAACTGCGGGGAGATCCATGTTACAGCTGTCCTCATCTTTGTTGCAGTTATGTTTTGGTCTGGTGGGCAATATACAACCTCGGGGCCTGAATTGTCTGCAAATAAAATGAGTTCGTACAAAAGGGTGGTTCAGATTTTTGTCCTAAATTAAAACATGCGATTGATTTGGAGGTTGAGATTAGACACAAATGCATACTTAGGTACATATGGTCCATTTCCGACGAGGAAATTACGGTTTATGAGCGGACAAGATAAAGCGAATCCTGTTCTTTGACTGGCTACTCCAGCTGCAAAATGGGTCTATCTGTTCCGCTCTTGATTGCCCGCGTTGTCTTTGCGAGTAAATTCAATCTTTTTGCCTTATTATTAATCGTTTATATTCCAAGAAAGTTTGGTCTTGCCGACTAGAGTGTGGAATTTTTACGTCTCTATGGACTTCGATTTCCTCTCGGTCCATTAAATGTCCAACCAATATCGTGACCAAAATCCGGCCATCTTGACCTCAGCAATGCGTTTTTAATAAGGAATATTTTCTGTTTTTCTGACCTTGCAAAGCGACCTTAAAGGAGCACTCATCCTTGTTTCCACTCGCATCAGTGGCAGTGTAGGTAATGACGGTAGAGGAGTAAAACGTGTAAGGTGAAGTGACTCCAGCTGGTGATACAGTGATCTGCGGTGCTTGGTTGCTGTTGTCAATAGCCACAGGAAAAGTCCAGTTTACCGTTGCCGACGAATTTTCTGTGATACTGGCGAAAATATCGGATGGGCAGCTCATGAATACGGGAGGAAAAACGTCTGCAATGCAACATATGAGAAAATGCAACCCTTAATACTGTCACATCAGACGACTTAAACCAAAGTACATTCTGTCAAGCTCATGGCTTAAAGGTGGACAGGATCTACCTAAGCACCTTATATTGTTTCATTTCTGTTTTGCTTCAAACAGACGAAAAAGCCAAAGAAATGACGTACCTTTGCACTGCAAAGCAGAAGATACATTTTGGTTCCAATTTCCGTTCTTCCCACATTGCAACACGTTTACACCTCCATTACTCTGGAATCCGTGTCTGCATTCCAAATAACAAATAGTTCCACTGATTGGATATGACAAGCACATGTAAGGATAAATATAACCAAACTGCAGCACCTTTAATGAAGAACATCTACGGACTAAGCAAACAAAAACAAAATAAAAGATGGACAAAGATAAGACGACCAGAGTACCGTTATTCCTTAGTCGATTCTCTATTAATAGTTTAAGCAAAGATCATCATAGGTCGTTTTACAAACATATATCGATAATACAATGATGATGACATGGTGGTGACATTAATAATGTCGATGATGGTGGAGATGATGAGAGTGACAGTGATAATGGAAGAAAAAGACAGTGACCAAGATAATTATACATCCAGTTTATTTCGTTCTCACCGAAAAAAAAGTGGCTGTGGGCACTTACAGGGATTGCCATTGGCCAGCCATGATAGCAGTTCTCTGTTCAGATGCGGGTTGGGCACAATGGAGGTCTCCAGACATCCCATGCACCCATTTTTTTCGCCAGAAATGAAAACAGTCGTTCCTTGTTATTTAGCATCAATAGGTAGAATGGCCACTCGATTAACCACTTAGTACTTGTTGTCCTTATTGTTTACAGCTATTTGGAGAAAGGTTGGCGGAAAAAGTGCACGCGACAATCCCGAAAGGTATCGTGGGTGGCTTTGAGGGCACTGTTCTTCAAAGAAATTTGAAAGAATGGTTCGGGAGGCCACGGACATGTGTTTGCGAGTACTAAAGGAAAGCAACAAAAGTAGGTTCGACAGCTTCAGTCGTTGCAAACAGTGTATTGATCAATATCCCGTATTACCTTTCGGGATTGTCGCGTGCGCATTTCTTCCGACAACCTTTCTCGAAACAGTTGTATACAAAAAAATGTCTTACACCTTTCTGTATTTACCTTTGCAGACAGGAACTGGATTGTCCCAGTAACCCGTGATGTGACCAGGGCGTGCTTCACATGATATATTTTCCGCACCAAGTAAGTTGTATCCATCGTCACACCCAAACGTACAGGTTGATCCAAAAGTATTCTCACATTTGCCCAACAAAAAACCGTTCAACGATGGGAGCAATGTCTGGCATCGCAAAACTGTAACAGGAGGCAGGAATTAGTTTAGCTTTTGCCGCTGAATATTGTTTAGTACATGTAAAGGTTTTTAGTGGGAAACCAAAACGTTGGCCACTGGACAGCCTCATCGAAACCTGGAGAATAAAGTGTCTAGTTTTCAGTTTAGCGAAATATTTGTTGCGTCGTCTTTGCAGATTGCGTGTAGTTGAAAGTCTCATCTTACCCTCAATGATGACGTAAAACTTGCAAATCCTAGAATTCCCAGCTTCATCGCTGGCGTTGTATGTAACAGTATGCCTTCCTGTGTAGTATATGCTGGTTACACCAGTAGAAACGACATTTGGTGTAACACCCGAGTTATCAGTAGCTATAACGGGAGGCCAGCTTACTGCTGTGTAGTTCTTCGCCCTGTCGGCGTAGCGTTTAATATCATAGGGGCACGTTGAGCCAAACGAAGGCCTTTCCACGTCTAAAATAAAAGGTTTTAATAGATTAGATACCTTATCAATTTAAGTAATCGTAATGACCGGTTAGTTGGGCTTGATAGTCTTGGGTATCGTTCAGTTGGAAGGTTATTTTTCTTTGCTCAGACAAACAGATGGAGTGACCACAGAAAATGAATCTGCATGTAGCGTATAAATTATTGAAATATTATACAAACCTCCACAAAAAGCACTGGTGCTTTTGGACCATTGTCCGTTGCTAAGGCAGAAAGTTAATGGCTCCCCATGCAGTCTGTAGCCTCTCGTACATGAGAAGTAACACCTTTTACCGTATTCTGGAGAGGCTGTGCACGAATTTGGTGTTACGGACCCGTTCTTTGGTGGCTCCAGGGAACTACAACGAACGACTAAAGAAACATAGTGCAATAGTATTAATTTTCAAATGATCATTCATTTCATGTAAGCGTTTGTCTATTCTCTTCAATGACAAAAGATTCACGGAGAGCTATCTAATCCGAATGGCAAGGGAATTTTGTCAGCAAAAACCCCACAAACTGATGGCCCAAGGGCCAAACCGCGAAATTGGGAAAGTGCGTTCTAATACCGAGAACTCTCCATTTTATCAATAGTGATTTAGTTTTGATATCTGTAAAAAGAAGAGCAGTTGAATAAACCATTTAACGCTTTGTTTATGCTCACACCTTGACAGTCGGGTGGTTGCCCTGACCATGTCCCATTTGCCTGACAAACTCTCTCGTTTGAACCGTTTATTTTACGATATCCAATGTCGCAATAGTAAAGGCATCTGTCACCAAAGTCGTTATACATGGAACCGAACCCACAGCCAGACTGGACGCTGTGAGAAGGAAGAGGAAGGCGAGGGCACCTGACCACTGCAAACAGAGGTAACAAAGGACATGTGTCAAAGGTCAAATTCCTTGATATTCAACTATGCGAGAGAACAAACCATTATCAAACGTTTGTTACTATTCGAAGCAAACAGAAGATTGGACTTCATTCGAACAAGAAGAAGATGATGTTGTTGGGAATGCCATTTAGAATGTTGATGATGGTAATGATGATGTTGATGGTGATGGTGGTGATGGTGATGATGATGATGATAATTGTAATGATGATGATGATGGTGGTGATGATGATGACATGATGATGATGATGATGGTGATAGTGATGATGATGGTGATGATGATGGTGATGATGATGGTGGTGATGATGATGACATGATGATGATGATGGTGATGATGATGGTGATGATGATGGTGGTGATGATGATGATGGTGATGATGATGGTGGTGATGGTGATGATGATGATGATGGTGATGATGATGGTGATGATGGTGGTGGTGATGATGATGATGGTGATGATGATGTGTACGAATAGTTTATTAAAACTCTCTTGAAGTAAAAAGAACTGAATTATCGAGTACATTTTACAATCTTAAGGCAACTATTACCTAGAGTATAGTAATTTACAGTTATAACAATGATATAACAATTGAATCACTTAAAATATTTAAAGTAAAGAAGTCCTCCACTCCCTTTGTTCTACAGACCTGTATGTTCCGGAAAAGATAATACTTTTGTGTTTTCTGCCTTAAGGTGTAGTTAGGCGCGTCCAGAAGTGGGCTGGGAAGTAGGTGGTGCAGAGGGTGGCTGGGGGACTTCATTTTCGCCATTTATTTGTAGCACAAGTGTACTCTTCTATCATCTAACCTATCTAGTTTACCTAACTGTAAGGCATGAGCATATGACTCTGCCTCGGGGTAGATTATGTTAAGCGCCCTTTTTTGCACTCGCTCTATGGCTTCGGACAGGTAAGCAGGGATATCCTGCCAGACTGGTACAGCATACTCTAAAACTGGCCGGACTGTACTAAGGTATGTCCTCAAGATGTTGGGTTGGCTCACCCTGGCTCTGCGGAGAACTCTAAGAGAGTATAACTTCTTTCAAGCTTTCTTAATAATGTAATCAACATGAGAGTTCCACTTCAGGTCATTGGCCATAATAACTCCTAAGATCTTATTGGTATTGACACGATTGATGACATTGCCGCCAATTATTAGTATAGGTAATAGCATGATTTGTCGTGATATTTCAAAATTGTTATACGTAATTTCACGAGCCATTAGGCGAGTGAAATTTGAGACAATTTTGAAATATCACGGGTGGTATTTATGGTAAATATCACGTTCAAATCATGCTATTATTTGTTTATACTACTACCCGAAAAAGGTTTGTAATTTTCACATGTAGGTATTTCAAATTAAGCTGAAATACTACTGCTCTAAGCCAATCAGATTGCAGAAATTTCTCATGTAGTAGTATAATTGGGTTAATGAGGCAATTGGAGTTGCGTAGGAAATTAATATACATTTCTTTACACTTGGTTGGGTTGAGTCTCATATTATGAGCAATGGCGAAATTGTGAATGTCTGAGGCTACTAGCTTAAGTAAGCTAGGGGAGTTCCTTGGAATTATTTCGAGAGCACTGGTATCATCCACGTATTTGATGCGCAGCCGCCAGTCAGACAGTTTGTTCGTCATTACCGTAAAAAGGATCACACCCAGTTTACTTCCTTGGGGCACTCCTCCTTTTAGTGTTAACCAATCTGACAGAGTTCTTCCGATTCTAACTGCTTGCTTCCGGCATGTCAAGAATGCCGCAATCCAAGATAAAAGGACAAGATGAACTTCAAGATCTGCAAGTTCTTGCATCAATATTGAATGATCAATTAAATCAAACCCCTTAGAAAAATCTGCGAAGAAAATCCGAGTCGACGCGTCACCACTATCAACTGCCTCGTGGATGGCTTGAAGCATATAATGGTGATGATGATTATGGTGATGATGATGATGATGGTGATGATGATGATGATGATGGTGATGATGATGATGATGATGATGATGATGATGATGATGATGATGATGATGATGATGATGATGGTGATGATGATGGTGATGGTGATGGTGATGGTGATGGTGGTTGTGGTGATGGCGGAAGATGATGATGATGAAATTGATGTGAAAATCTCTCGAGAGTGATAAGAATTTTAGATTAAGTGAAATTGGTATAACTTACATTCACACTTCGTTTCATTTCCAGTCCAGAAGCCGAAAGAACTCGTCTGATTTTTTTCACAACTTCTTTTTGCCGAACCCCTCATGATGTGACCAGGTTGGCATGTGAAGGAACACTCTGAACCATACATGTTATCCATGGTGCAACGTTTGCTGCCTCCAGCCGGTGCATATAATCTGGGCTGACATCGGATCACTGAATAATAGGACCAAAACTGCTTTAAGAGGTAACTTTCCTTTGCATTATTTTCTAATACACCCAGAATAAGATAATGTTGAGAGGTCTAAGAAGGTGGTAGGTATGTAGCATGAGTTATCACCGTGACTTAAACGCAGGTAAGTTACCAAATCTTTTCAGCTGACTTTTTTTAAATATTATTTGGATGTACAATCTTAAAATTTAAAGATTTGGACATAGAGAATATTGAAATTTAAGATTTAACGGCCAGAATATTAGATTCAAGATTTCACATGAAGAATCATGAATTTGTAAATTCACCAGTAATTAATTCATCATCATCACTCACGGTGAATAACTGACTCATAACTCGCTGAGGCCTCGTTACAGCGAGAAACTAGTAATAGTTATATCTTAAATATGGACATTTAACAGTATGGGAAACAAGTGGCTGTTGACTTTACACCTTTATTGTAATTCATCGAATTAGTTTAAGCTACAATTACCAGATTAAGACAGCTACCTGAAACGAAGACTTTAAAGGTGCATTCGCCAATATTCCCCGCTCTGTCAATGGCTCTGTAACGTATGATGTGCTCCCCGGCAGAGAATCTCCCCCCAGGTTCCTTTCCTGTACGTGTTATGTTGGGAGCGAAGCCGGAGTTATCTGTAGCCGTTGGGGCTGTCCATGTTACGGTTGTCGACGTAGTGCCCCGATCAGCATTTGCAGCAAAATTTAGAGGACAGTTTAAGAATGTCGGCCTCGAAATGTCTTGGACAAAATTAATAGACAAATAAATAATCGTATTACTAAATAGCTAAATGATTCGTCGCAAAATATGACACACATACGTATGGTAGGAACCCTATTTACTATATAACAAAGCCAAGGACTAGATAAATGAATAAATTGATATATCAGTTAATTTTATTAACTCTAAGAATAAAGACTTTTTTAAAAGACCGAAGAAGGCAGACGCTTTAACCCTTAACTTGCGTTATTTTCAGTGAATGGGATGGCCCGTACGTGCCTTCTTACACTGGAGAGAAATAAGACTGATTTAAGAAGCGGGATTTGCCATATGCATGTATATTGCCTGGCAGGGTGAGAATTTATGTTATATAGTACTATGCCTACCTGAACAAAAGGGGTTTCCTATTGGGGTCCAAGTGTTACTCTTTCCACAGAACGTGAGCCCAGGACCTTGGAGCTGATACCCACTCTTACAAGTGAAGCGACACTCGGTTGCATAACCGAGGGCAGCACTTGAGTTTAAGCAGGCTGATGGGCTAATGATAAGTCCCTCTGACGTTAAAGTTATGGCAGGGCATGTCACGGCTGAAATATATTAATTCTGGTCATGATTTTATCATCATCACAAGCATAGATATTTCATGTTTATTATCATTTTCCTTTTCTTATATGATTGTTAATGATGATTAATATAATTATCATCATAACATAGCATCATATCTCACTCTGCCATCCGCTGTATGAGATCTGGGTACGAAATTATTATCGTCATCTTCATTGTCATAATTGCAAAAATGATTCAATCGTTTCCTGAATACAGTACTTGAAACACACATTGGTCTAATGGCGGAAATTGTGCGATCGATTCAACTTAATAACAACATTACCCTGGCACTGAATAGGTGTTCCACTCCACTTTTGATTTTCCTGACATGTCCTCTGCATAGATCCATTTACTGACTCGTATCCTGGTTTGCAACTGAAAAAGCAGGTAGTCCCGTAACTAGCGGTTGGAGCGCTGCACCCGTACCCAGATTTAACTGCGTCATCAGGGATATCCAAAGACGGGCACTTGATGACTGTAAAGAAGGGGAGAAAAACTTCACTGGTGGCTTAAAGAAAAATCAGGGCAAACAATAGAGAGATGAAGAGTCACGTTTACGGCAAACGGCAAACGTCAGTTTCAAGTTGAGAATTTCTCAAAATAAAATGAAGCATATAAAAAGAGCTTAAAACAATTATTATGGATAAAAATGACGTAAAAAAACTTGTTTTGTAGAAGTGACGAGCACTAAACGACAGGTAATGAGAAAACTTAGTCGCGTGGTACAAATTCACGTTTGCCGTAAACGTCACTCTTAATCTCTCTAACAGGCCATTTCCGAGTTCCCCAGGCCTCTGCTTTAACGAGGCTAAGGGGGAAGCCAATGATATGAAATGATTTTTTTATTCTCATCCAAATAAATGTCACCTTCGGAAGAAAAGTTTTGCACTTAGCCTCGTTTTGAAAGTAAAGTTTTTGGAACTCGGAAATGGCCTATTGGCCCATCAAGATCCCCATTTAGCGTCTACAAATTGTGAATGACCAACCAAAGTAGAAAAGCAAAAGAGGTGATCACATAAGTCAAAAAGCTCACTTTTTTTACTTACCCTCACATTGAGTAGCGTTTCCTGTCCAATAAACTTGGTTTGCTCCAGAAGTCTTGTTGCAGCTTCTAACCACAGATCCCTTCAGTTTAAATCCCTTATTGCATTGAAAGTGACAAATGCTTCCATACACATTGTTACAAGAGCCAGACCTCAGCCTTCCATTTGCAGGTGGAAGAAGAACAGGACATCTAAGAACTGAAGGAGAAAATTTTTATTGGTTGGAAAAAGGAATCATGCCTAAGGTGGTGTGAAAGGTATGTCAAAAAAGCTCGTCCTGAACGGGACATTTGGTAGTAGTTGTTGACGTTCGGTAACCTGTGCGAAAGTTGTCATCATCAACTGAGGATACTCAGATCTCTTTGTACCTAGATGACGACTTCCGCACCGGTTGTCAAAGCCTAAGTCCCTATTGTCAAAGCATTCAAAGCAGTCCCATTCAGGACTTCTCTTACTCGGACACTCATAATAGTTAAGTTTTGCACCACATGAGACTGCCCCATTTCCCGTGTTGCGTTTGGTGTTTTTAATTTCAAATCCTGGTTAAAGAAGAAATGTATTGGTTCATAACATTTTTCGAACTCTATTTTGGGCCTATCCCGATCATTACTTTTGGCGTTGTTCATGCAGTGGCATCCCTTACGTAGTAAAACAATACGCTGCCCCTTTTTATACAATCGATCCTTTATTTTACAATAACTCATTTCTCTCGCGCTGATTGGCTAATGTTTATGATCAGCGATCATTTGCCGAACGAATGCCAAACTGCGATGTTTTCCTTTAGTTTAGTTTTGTAAAAGATTAACTTTCTGTCTACTAAGAAAAATAGTCAGATAGCTCTAGCCGATGCAAAACTTGCATCCTGTTTCAATTCTCTACAAATTAAGCTCAAGCAGGGGAAACTGAACAAAAACGCTTAGTTTCCAAAAGAGACGACGACTTGCTAGAAATTGTACTGCTTCAAAAATGACGCCACAATATTGTCAAAATTGTTGTGGATCCACTCGCCTGCGGCCAATGCATCCACAACCCTTTGAAAATGTTGTGACGTCATTTTATCATCAATAAGAGGACACACAGTAATTTTAATTTCAAGGAGTTATAGTAACTCCTCTAGTGGGGCTAATTTAACTCCTTACAGTGGAGTTATTTTAACTCCAAAAAGGAGTTTAAAGAACTCTTTTTTAGGAATAAAAGTGACTCAGATATTGAGGAGTTAAAGTAACCCCAAAAAAGGAGTTATCCTGTACCTAAAATTTTTACTCCACTTTCAGAGTTAACTTAACTCCAAAAAGAGAAAAAACAACCGATGTAAGGAGTAAAAGCAACCCCATTTCAGAGTTATTTTAACTCCAGACTGGGAGTAAAAATAACTCTTTTTCAGGAGTAAAAATGACCCCAAATTCGGAGTTAAATTAGGAATTAAAATAACCCTAAAAAAGGGGTTATCCTGTACCTAAAATTTTTACTCCATTTTTGGAGTTATAATAACTCCCTAAAAATTATGGTGCAGATGCAAAAAACTGGCGTCAGTTTGTTAATTTGTAATTGAAGTAAAATGGTCTAAAATAATTAACATTATCTTATGGATTATATTACCTTGAACATTAACTCTTAAATGGCAAATCTCTGTATTTCCGGACGGATCTCTGGCAGTATAAATCACAGTATGGCTTCCCTCGGAGAAATTGTGAGGTGACGTCACATCTGGTAGCACGGTGACGGTCACATGTTCATTATCTGTAGCTGTTACCGGTGCCCAGGTCACCGTGGCCGTGGTTTTACCCTCGTCAGCAACAACATTTCTCTCTGGTGGGCAGGTTTCTCCAAATGAAGGTGGCTGTGTGTCTTTCATGAAGAAAATATACAACATTTTAAGAAGTGATGTACACGAGGCTTACAAATAAACCGGACGTTCTTCATTTAAAAAAAACGCTTATCATTGTGGACAGGGTTTTAAGAAGTTTCTTACCTCGACAGTAAAAACCAATTTGTGTCCAGCGCCCGTTATCACATGTGGATGAAGATGGCCCGGTCCGTGTGTAGCCTGGACTACATTCGTAATAGCAGGTTTGACCATGTAAAGGCTTTGTTTTGCAGATTTCCGGAGTGATCTCACCATTGTCAGGAAGAGGCTGAGGAGAGCATACACGAACTGAAAAACGGAAGGTAAATTCTCTTATTGTTTGATGATTTTGTGTTCTAGGAAGGGGAACCGACGTTCATGAAACGACAAATGTGTTACGAAATGTGTTACGAAATGAAATCGAGATTTTCTTGAATATTTTTTATCATTGACAAAAACAGTCAGAAACGTAAGGCGCCAAGATTACACTTATATCTTCTTTTTACCTTGACAATTCGGCGATGATCGTGGACTCCAGTTACCATCATCACCACAACGAGAGGATGAAGGTCCATTTAGCTGATAACCGTTATTACACGTCACAGAACACGTTGTTCCAGACTGAACTTGAGATTGACCCCTACAATGGTTTGATAACTGTCCATTGCTAGGAGCGGGCCAGCTACTTGTGGGACAAGTGACTCCTACCAAAAAAGGGCAAATATCTATTTCAGGCATACTTCAATTATGGTTCAGTCATTTTTTTTACCTTTTTTACATATCCCTATTTTCTCTACAGTATCACCCGGGGGAGGTGGGGGTGGCATTATTTTCAGAATATTTTGGAATGAGGACACGTCTGTTACACTTTTTCAGGTATGTTTTTGCATGATCGTTGGGGCTAAGAAAGATAGGAACATAGCTCAGCCTGTGGTTAGTCCATAAGATTGTATTACACCAGTTATAGAGAAACTACCATAAGGATTAGAGTTAATGTTGGCTGGACCTCCGGTTCATTCTTGTCTTACTCAAACACAAGGAAAAAGTGGTGCAGATCCGGTGATCCCATTGTTACGGCATGAAATTTGATAGTTTCCTTCGCAGCCGCTCGGATGGGAGTCACGCAACCTTCCCCGCCCTAACTTTTTTAAAAGCTGCAAAACACGACGAGATGGACAAAATTATGGGAAAAGATTAGGGCTACAACTGAATGGACCGGTAAAATTATTACCAAACAGAGCAACAATAAAAGCAAATCATACACTTACGGACACAAAGATCCCTGTTCCACCACGCAGGCTTAAAACCAGAGTAACACTTGCAAGAGTAGCCTGTAGAGTCATGGTTTATGCAGAGGTGTGCACATCCCCCATTGTTATATTCACACTCATTACAGTCCATCTTTTCTGTGTCCATTCCACTGCAAGGCCTTCCCCCGTGGGCAGGGGGTGGGTTGTTACAGTATCTTTGCCTGGTTCTGACACCACCTGAGCATGACGTCAAACCCCAAGAGGATGGTTGCCATGATCCCCAACCGCCATGTCTTGGGGCTAACATGAAAATAGCAATCTTTACTAATAATCTTCACTAAAGCTGTGTTTGTGTTTCCCAAAGAAGAATGAGTGAATTTGTTTCCTTCAGTTCCCCGTGAGAGAAGAAAAAAGTCAGTGTTTTCAGTGGGATCAGTCATAGTGATTTTTTCTTATAATTATAATCCTAACTCATAAATTGAATTTTGATAATATATTATTATAAAATATATTACACACGCGTGTCATCCAAAATTTTTCTAATCACGACTGGCAAATAGATTTCCTGCGGTTTCAATGTATACGATCCGATCACTTGTGAGGTTAAAGTTCCTTAGGGACATGGTTAGTGGTTTTTGTTCTCCTCAGTAAGGTTGGTTCATGACACATGGCACGTGACACGTTCTCGTCCATTTGGAGAGTGTTCCGTGAACAAATAAAAATAGCAGACATGCACATTGAGATTCGGGCCGGATTGAAAATTACTCAGACGTTCAGTGAAAAATATTGTGAGAAAAAATGTTCACAAATCTGTAGAGCTACAAACTATATATGAAACTGAACTGATCTTTTATTCACAATTTTCACGTCGGGTTATATTACATGTTTTTACAGTTTTCACTCGAGCTAGGACAAATAAGTTTGTTTCTTTCATAGTTTGCTCTGCTAAAAGAGCGTTACATTTCCTTTCAAGTGTATTTAAGCGTTTTTCTTCCAATATTTTGATTTCAGATCGAACGCTATTGAGCCTCACTTACATGAAACATTTGTTCTCTTTCCTATCCCAGGAACATTTGCAGGGAACATTTCGGCTGCAGTCTCCTTCTCGTTTCTGAGATGGCGAATTGTTTTAGCATGGAATGGGCAGGAATTTTCTGGAACTAGACCCTTGGGTTTTCATTCTTATTTTTTGGAGCCCTTGTGGCTTACCGTCGTTGCGCATGGGATACAAGTCTTGTATTACGAAGCATACTCTTTAATCTTTATCAGTGTTATAAAAACAGGCAATTGCATTGGACCGAATTAATAAGTTACTATTTCCCGTATTTTATTTTGCGGACAGACCTAAAGAACGTAAAGAGGAATGCAACTTGCTCAAAGACATTTCTAGGAAAAAATCTAATTGTTTTACTTAAATGCCGAAGGCAAAATGCGCAACCTTTTTGGATGAAGCCAAAATGAACGGACAGCTTTATCATTAAGTACTCCGTGGCTTCAACTACTTCTTTTGTTTTGTATTACGAGGCATACTCTTTAGTTTTTATCAGTGTTATAAAAACAGGCAATTGTATTGGACCGAATTAATAAGTTACTATTTCCCGTATTTTACTTTGCGGACAGACCTACAGAGCGTTAAGAGGAATGCAACTTGCTCAAAGAAATTTCTAGGAAAAAATCTAATTGATTTTACTTAAATGCCGAAGGCAAAATGCGCAACCTTTTTGGATGAAGCCAAAATGAACGAACAGCTTTATCATTAAGTACTCCGTGGCTTCAACTGCTTCTTTTGTTTCTTCCTCGTTGTATGCTTGTCTTGTTTCGGTTTCTTTTGTTAATGTTCTTGTGTGTGTCTTCTTTTTCGTTCTCATCATAGACAATAGTGAGTTTACGCAATAGGACGGCAGGAAGAAGACAATGGCAAAACGTTTGTGTGTGACAAACGTGACAAGGCTATTACTTGCGTGTTTCGTTGTAATCTTCACTTAACATGAATATTTTCTAGTTCTTTACAAAAAGATCTGTTTAAAGGAAGGTGAAGTTTCGCGGATAATTTTTTCAAACAAGATTATTGTAACGCTTGCTCCGTCCTCTTTCTTCTCCCGTGGCGCGTCATTTTGCTCAATAGCCTACGGAAGCCGAGAAGGGACAATCCAAAAATATTTTGCAAATCCAAAAAAATATTTTAAATCGCAATATTTTTTTTCAAATCACTGTCGAAAAGTTTGACAAATCTAAAAAACTATTGCAAATCCTAAGAAAGTTTGTGGATCCGCAAATAACTTTCTCAATAATCCGAAAATATTTTGCAAATCTATAAAATTATTTCAAATCGCGATTTTTGTACAAATCATTCTTGAAGAGTCTGGTAAATCTAAAAAAGTATCGCAAATCCAAAGAAACTTATTGGATCCGCAAATAACTTTTTAGAAAACTCTAACATAGTTTAAAGTCCAAGAATCGTCTTCAAATCCAAAAAAATATTTTGGAAATCGTAAAAAAAGTTTTGTCACATGCTTCTAAAATTTAAACTACAAAACTATCGATCCTACCGAGATTTTACTTTCACGATATATTAGAGCAGCTGAAAACTAATTTTCATACAAATTTTCGCTTCAAAAGGGTTCTTGGTTTTGTGATAGAGTATGCTTGAATTTCTAAGGTTTTGCGTGACGCGGCATTTACATGACGGCCAAGAGAGTTGACATCTAGATTAAAAAAATACGTTATTTCAAGGAATTTTGCTATCCAAACAGTTCATGTATTATAAAAAGTATTCCTTTAATGTTTATGAGTTCCTCGAAGAAGAAATTCACGCTTTGTAGCAAAACTCAGTAACAGATGTTTCTGTTGGTTTCCGTCCGCAATGTTGGAGCCCATCCAGGTGGGCACCAGCATGGCGTCTCCATACAAATCTCTATAAATTTGGGTAAAACATTTCTTCGGATATCTCGTATACGAAATATTCCTCTGACCTGAATCTTGGCGAGGGTCTTTGCATATTTACCTCCTTTCATTTCCCAGATTCTGGACTTTATCTATTGAGGGGTTTTGCTTTTTATTTTGATCTATTTTGAATGGCGTGACACTGAAAACCAGCAATACTGGCTGTTTCCCGCCATTTCCCCCATACAAAATGGCGAAGGAAGGAGGTTAGAACATCGAGAACGATGTTCTGTCATAAATGTAGGAGAGAATTTGGGAGCAATGAAATATTCTGCCCTTGGTGTGGAACAGACGTAAACAGGGAAATGTGTTGTCCAGCTCGGGAGACGAGATTTGCTATAGAATATTACTTTAAAGGGGGATTTTGTTATGAGACCATTGTTCACTTTCTGGCAGAATACCATGGGATTTCAATGAACGTGAAGACTTTGAAGAGAAGGCTACGTCATTATGGGTTATGAAGAAGTAACCACCTTCATTCAGAACACACGATTTCCAAAATATTTTTTTGGATTTGAATTGATTCTTGGACTGTAAACTATTTTAGAGTTTTCTAAAAAGTTATTGCGGATCCAATAAGTTTCTTTGGATTTGCAAAGTGTTTTTAGATTTACCAAACTCTTCAATAATGATTTGTACAAAAATTGCGATTTGAAATAATTTTATGGATTTGCAAAATATTTTCGGATTATTGAGAAAGTTATTTGCGGATCCACAAATTTTCTTAGGATTTGCAATACTTTTTTAGATTTGTCAAACTTTTCGACAGTGATTTGAGAAAAACATTGCGATTTAAAATATTTTTTTGGATTTGCAAAATATTTTTGGATTGTCCCTCCTCGGCTTCCGTAATAGCCACAAAACACGCCTTAACATTCACAATGAAAGGGTTTTGTCCCTCCTGAATATGAATGAATACCTGGAAAACCGAAAGTTCAGTTTAAGGAATGGAATTTTAACGATCTTATTGTCTTAATTGTTTTATGGGAATGCATAATAATAAAAACGAAACGGGCGGAATATTAAAATTTTCCGTTCCTATTCTTTGTTCTCTTTGTTCATGGAAGAACCCTCCACCGAGTCGATTACTTTTCTCTGCGTTATATACCTTTCGTCCGGGGGACTTCTTGTATCACTGGAAAGTTATACATTCGCAAAAACTTTTCGGAAAACTCTAAAGCAGAATGTTAACTTTTGTCGACGGGTGTTGGGATCAAAATAATTGTGAGACCCATACTTAAAAATAACACCGGAAAACGGGAAATCAGTGAAACGAAACAATTTCTCAGAAATCCGCCGATAAACTTAATTTACATTATATCGAGGAGTTGTCTTTATTGATTGGCCGATACTCAGAGATCAAGTCCACTTTCGATATGAAGTGGCAAACTTGATGTCTGATATGATAGCCTTTAATCTATATATTGTCTTTCATGAAAATAATGAGACATATTGCTGAAATTTAGGACTGTGTGGAATAAAGCAAAAATAACGAAGCTGGACTTGTTTCGGTTTGTACCGGTTCGATTGTATTTTATGGGTTGGTTCAGGAAGTTGATAGCCCGGACTATTTGCGAGGCAGTTGATTGCTTCGTCAAATATTAATGCTCAGTATTAGACTGGTCCGTATCCTGAGTGATTGGAAAATTGAGAATAGTTGTAGCTAGATCATTAATTTTACCGCTACACAGCCTGGTTTTATACATTTATGTCATTTTGACCATGGTATTTTACAGGAAATTACTTGCATGACCATGAGATTAATTCCTAAATCATTTGCTCTTAAGATAAGCTACTTACACGGTCCACAGCCACCACATCCGTCCACATACTTGAACAAAATAGAAATGAGCACCAAAGAAACAGCCAACGATTGTGAGAAAGGCAAAGTGTGCTGCATGCTGGATTACGACTAAACAGCGAATAAAAAAAGCCGAATCTCTTAATTGCTATAGTGTGTAGTTTCTAAATTTGGTAATTACGTAAGGGTAAACCCCCATTCAAGCAAAAAAGGGCTTGCTGTGTATTTTATTCAACCATGACCTACGCAT